CAAACCCAGGAGAGCTCGAGGAGCCCAGGAGCCAAAGCCCTGCAGGGGGTGTGGACTCACGTAAGCCACACACACCGAACCCTGAGCGGCCCTCGCTCCGGGGTGGACGCCCCGCAGGACGAGCGCCCGCGAACGTGGATGGCACGGCCGGTCCCACGGACACACCACCGCACGCCAGAAAACAAGCTGTAAATGAGACGTTCCTGCCACCTTAGAGCAATGGGGTGAACAGTGTAGCCGCAGGCAGGACCGGCCCGACCCCACGGGAGGAGGCTGGCCCTGAAAGCAGCCGCCGGAGGAACCAGGCTCAGGGCTTAGGGACCCGCACTGCGCGGCTCCAGACCAATTAATGCTCCTGCGTCTGGGGAGTCTGGGGGGGCCTCGGGGGAGGGGAGCGGCTTCAGGGCCCTGCGGGGATTTTCCGTCTTCACTGGCTTGTGGATGACTGGGGTGCACTTACCTTCAATCATTAGGCTGCACGTTTGTTTTACGTCATCTTCCGAATACTCGTTATATTTCACAACAAAGAGTTCAAAATAAATGAGACCAACAACCAAAGGACAGCAGGCTGGGGGTGGAGGTCCGGCCACCCCACCCCTCCCCAGGCTTTGGGCCCTAGCGTGTGCCTGCGCAGAGAATGGAATCGTGTGGCACCTGTGCCCGGCTGTCTGCCTACCTCCTCCTTGTAGGACCGGGGTCAGACCCTGGGGAGCTGTGCTTCCGGCCCCGGCCACTGCCTGCACCTGTCCTATAGACTGCTGTCCTGGGGCGACCTCACTATCCCCAGATGCCTCCCCCGCAGCAGCCCCACCAGGCCCATGGGGGACCCCCTCACACCCCAGAGGCCAGGCCCTGCTGTGGGTTCCTGGTGTGGGCAGGCAGGGTGGGAATACCGAGGAGCTCTGGCCCGAAGGCCCAGGGGTGCTGGGACACAGAGTGTGCAGGTGCTGGGCAGGGAGATCCTTGCAGGTCAAAAAAGGGGGGTGGCCGGGAGCTGCATCGTTGGGCCGCAAAGAGGCAGCCGGCTGGGCAGAGGGCACCCCCATCGGGGACTTCCTGGGCACTCCAGGGAGGAAGGTCCCCTTAGGGCCCTGAGCGGGGGCTCATCCTTGGATCTACGCCCCAGGCCCCGGGCCCTTACAGGCCAGCAAAGCGCCCCCGACTGTGCCCCCAGACTGGAGGACCTCTCCTAGGGAGTGGGGCTGGCAGGGGGCAACCCGGGGAGGACACGCCGTCACCCCCGCACCCGCCCCAGGCGGGCAGGGCAGCCGCGGGAGGCCAAGGTGGCCCAGCACCCATGGGAACACCCCAGTGCCGGGGAGGACACAGGGCCCGGAAGCCCTGGGAGGGGACCCCGGAGGGAGGGCCTGACGGGCTGCGGAGGAGGGGGAGGCCGGGGCAGCAAGTGCGCAGCGCTGCAGGGGGGCTTCGCAGGGGCGGGAGGGCGGCGGGGGAGGGGTCGGGCCTTCCAGCTGCGGGGCCCTGCGGCTTGCGGGGGGGGGGGGGGGGGGGAGGCGGGGGGCGCGAGGTAGCTCCGCCTCTGGGGTCCTCTAGGAGCCAAGCCTCCTCCGACGGAGCGTGACGTCCGTGTGACGTCATCACGGGTTTCCATGGCAACGGAGCCGGGAATGACACATCTTCTCCAAGGGAAGGAGCCATTTGGGGCCTTCGGGCCTCTCCGCGTCGGGTTCCAGGCCTCACGCGCGCGCGAGGCGCAATGCTGGGGCGGGGCGGGCTGCATGTGGGACCCCCCCCCATCCATTTCCCTGGCTGAGTCGTGGGGCCCCCTGGGCAGGCGGGCTGGGCTCATTCACAGTCGGTGGTCGGTGGGTGGGGGTCGCCCTGCGCCTCCCGCCCCCCCTCCCCCCGTCCCCCGTCCCCTTTCTGCCGTCGTCCGCTCCCCGCTGCGGGCTGCTGGGCGGCGTCTGCGGAGGCGGCGTGGGAGGAGCGGGGCGCGGGGAGGGGGGCGAGGGGCCCTGGCGGAGCAGCCCGCAGGAGCCGGGCCGCGGGGCGCTCGCCCTCCCCCTCCCCTCCCCCCTCCCCCCGCCCCCGCCCCCGCCCGGCTGCATCTGCGTCACGCGGAGGGCTGCGCACCTGCGCGGGCTGGTGCGGGCCGGGCGCGTGTCGGGCGTGCATGTGACTGCGGGGCGCGGGGCGGCGCGTGCGAGCGGACACCCCGCAGGGCGCAAGCCCGCGCCCCCGCCCGCGCCCCCGCCGCCCGCGCCCGCCGCCCCCCGCCTGGCTCTCGGTTCCCCCACAGCCCCGGAGGCCCAGGTGGGGGCGGCTCGGCTCTGCACCCCCGCCCCCCGGCTTCCCGCGCGCCCGCCACCTGTGGCCCGAGCCCGGGGTCTGCGGCAGGTGCTGCTGGAGCGAGGCGCGCTGCCTGCGCCCGGCCGTCCGCGCCCCCGCGCCCCCGCGCCCCCCGCCCTCGCACAGAGCCGGACGTTCTGGAACTGGCCGCCCCTCCGCAGCCCCCAGCGCCCTCCGGCCACCGCGACGCCGCTGAGGCTGGCCCCGACCCCCGCAGCGCTGCGCCGCGCGGCCGAGACGGGGTCGGGGCGGCACGTCGGGTCTGCGCGCGGCTGGACACCGGCGGTTCCTCGGGGTCCGGGCAGCGGCTCGCCCCGCGGAGGCCCCCGGCCGTCGGGGGGGGCCTGCGGACAGCACCCGCTGCGGCCACCGGAGACCCCAAGGAGGGACCCCGGCTCCCCCCGGCCGCCATCGGGCCGGCCGCGGTGCCCCCGTCCCTGCACGCGCACCTGCACGCGCACCTGCACGCGCACCTCGCGCGGCCGTGCACACGCCCCTGCACACTCGGCCCCCCTCGCCCCCGCTCCACAAGGAGAAATGTGGAAATGGCTCACAGGCGGCTCCGACGGGCAGCTGCTGCACGGCGCGGCCGCAGGACGAGGATGCGGAGGGAGGATGCGGTTCCAGACGCTTCGCAGCCGGGGCGGGGCGGGGGAGGGGCCGAGCCGAGACCGAGGCTGCTGTCGCCTGGGAGACGCGGGCGGAGGGAGGGAGCGCTTGCGTCTGCGGCCACCGCTCCACCCCGAGCCCCCCCGTGGGAGCTGCGCAGGGGCAGGGGTGCAGGGGGTGCAGGGGGGCTCCCACCCGGACAGCACACCGCCTGCCTCACTGCGGGGGCCAGCTGAGCCCTGCCTGCCCCTCGGCCTGCCCCCCACGACCCTGTCCGGGCTCAGGCTGCCTTCTTGCCCCCCTTGGTGTGCCTGCGCCTGAAGCCCCAGGGCGGCCCCTGCCCCTGGAGCAAGCCTGTCGCTCGAGTCCCCATTGGGCCACCAGGGAGGGGTGCTGGGGTGCGAGCACAGCCGTGACCCGGGCTCGGGCTGCTGCCCAGTCTGGGCGGCCCTGCTGCCAGCTGGCGGTGGACGGGCCCGAACGTGTGTTTGTGCAGACTGGGGCCTCCCTCCTCTGGGCGGGTGCGAGGACCAGTCGCTAGGGCCCGTGGTCACTCACGGGGCATTTACGGTCAGCTTTGTCAGCCAGACGTTTCCCAAAAGGCCTGCACCGTCTGAGGCCAGAAACGAGCAGTGGCACGGTCCGTCCACCTGCCGCCGACACTTGCTGTCATCTGTTTGGTTACCTGGGGCCGCAGGCTGCGCAGCGCAGCCACCGGGATTTGGCTCCTTAGATGCTGGAGGTTCCAAGCCAGGGTCAAGGCGAGGGCAGGCTTGGTTTCCGCAGGCTCCTCTCCTTGGCTGGTGGCTCCCGACGGTCCCCCATCTGCCTTCGTCTCCTCTTCTTAGAAGGACACTCATCAGAACCAATTGGGCCCCCGAGACGACCTCTTTTTTTTTTTTCCCAGCACATCCAGCTCCGGGATCAAGAGCTGCGTGCTCCAGGCCCGAGCCACCCAGGTGCCCCTAGAACGATGCGTTTTGAATTAACTTTGGTGTGCAGTGGGGTCCCGTCGCGGCTTGTGTGGAGTTGGCTCACGGGTCTGGGAGACCCGAAAATTGAGAGCTACTGCGCGCCCCGACAGCGGCTCCCCGTGGCCCTGAGGCAGCACCAGGCCACAAAATGAATACACTGAGTCACGCCGGAAGCGCTACGGCTGTCGTTTGGATTTCCAGGAGAAAAAGATTAAGAAAGAAGGTCGAGGGCAGCCCCGGTGGCGCAGCGGTTTAGCGCTGCCTGCAGCCCAGGGCATGATCCTGGGGACCCTGGATCGAGTCCACGTCGGGCACGTCAGGCTCTTTGTATGATGCCTGCTTCTCCCTCTGCCTGTGTCTTTGCCTCTCTCTCTGTGTCTATCATGAATAAATAAATAAAATCTTAAAAAAAAAAAAAGAAGGTCGAGAGGCTCAGGAATGTTCAAAGAAAGCAAAAAAGATGATTGGTCTGAAAACTAAGTTCTACCTGGAACAGCGGCGTGCTGAAAAAATACAAACGAAGAGGACTCTCCAGAGGCAGAGACGAGAAAGGGCAAACAAAAGAGTGAGGAGAAGACGCCCCCGGAGCAGGGCCTGCAGGTGTCCCCGCCTGCCGAGGGGCAGCCCCCGCTTAAGTCCTTTCCAATGTGACTGAACAGAGGAACAGAGCAAGCCGGGAAGTGGGGAGTTCCTTTACCCAGATTCGCGCTCCGGGAGACACAGAAGCACCAAAAGTCATTCTCAGGGAAGAGAAAGAGGAAAGCGTGGAAGGGGACGGTCACTAGTCCGCTTTGCCGGAGTCACTCTCCTCGGAAACCACCTCCGTGCGAAGGTTCATTGGCTACGGGCTTACCTGTCATAAAGGCCCAGTAACAGCCTGAATTGAAAGCCACCTTCTGGGGACGCCGGGGGCTCAGCGGGTGAGCGTCTGCCTTGGGCCCAGGGCGTGACCCCGGGGTCCCGTGTCGGGTTCCCCACAGGGAGCCTGCTTCTCCCTCTGCCTGTGTCTCGGCCTCTCTCTCTGTCTCGCATGAATAAATAAATAAAATATTTTTAAAAATTCTGTTTATTGAAATTATTTAAGACATTTCATCAACCTCCCCTTTATTTCTTTTTTAAAAATATTTTTATTTATTTATTCATAAATAAAACTGGGAGCACGCAGGACGGTGGGGACCCCGTAGCAGCACCCTGGAGTTGGGGCACGGGCGGCCCCGCGGGGAGGCCCCGTTCCCTCCCACCCAAGGCTCGGCCGCCGGTGCATACCCTTCTCTAGGCGCCTGTGCCAGGGTCCGTGTCCGCGCCTGTGCCCCGACGTGGCTCCCCCTAAGGATGCCCACTCTGACTGGGGGGAGCCCCACCCCTTGCCCGTGGCTCCGGGCAAACCTGCTTCAGGAGGAGGCCTGTGCCAGGCGCACAAGGGGGGGTGGGAGGCCGGGACGGTTTTCCAGCTTCTAGACCACCCGTCAGCCCAGCTTAGGCTCCAGTCCCCCAGGTCGCAAAGCAACATCAGGACACTCTGCTGGTGGCGGCAAGGGAGTGTGGGCCCGGGCGTGCGGGTCCCCCCTGGGGGCCGAAGCGCCTCGGGTGGGTGGGTCCTCGGGGGGAGCCAGCTGGGGAGCACCAGCCGCCACTGCCGCTGGGATCCCTGGTCTCTGACCTCTGTCCAGATCCACCCACGTCAGGGCCATAAAGCCCGAGGAACCCGCAGGAGGAGCAGAGCAGGTCTGAGTTGCTGGATCCAGTTACTTGGATCTGAACTACGGGTCCCTGAGAGCACCGTCTACACTGGGAAGGGGGCCTCATCATGAGGAGGTAATGCCCAACGCTCCTAAGCCAGACCCCCACTCAAACCGGGCGGTCTGCTTGGGTCCGGGAGCCCCGGGCACCCACGTCCCGGCTCAGGCTGGCTCCGGGGAGGGAGCCGGCGGGGGAGGAAGGGGTGGCCTCTGTCCTCAGGCCGGGGTTTGGCTGCGGGCCCCAGGGCGGCTAGAACTGCCCATCCCGGGTCTACCTCAGGACCAGCTTGGAGGGCCTTGCCCGGGACCCCCGTGACAGGACACCCTGTCCCCTGGGGCCCCTTGGCGCCTGGAAGGGGAGGCAGGAGGCACTGGGTCAGGAGGAGAGGTGGGGGTCAGATGCTGCCCGAGGGGACAGTCCCCTGGAAGCTGGGCCGGGTCCTCCCCCCTGGGGGGTCCCCTCCTTCCTTCATCTCCTGGGGACCCCCTCCCCTCCTCCCATGAGCCGGAGCGCTCCCCTCATCCTCCTGGTCTGGGGTTTTCTCCTGGGGGCCCCCTGCTCAAGCCAGAGGCCACGCCTACCCTGCAGGGAGGTGGGTCGCGGCGGGGCTTGGGGTCCCTGGGCCCCCTTGGGAGTCCAAGCTGCCTTCCTGGGGAGAGGCCACAGGTTTCGGAGCCATGGCCACACCCCCACGCCGGGGACCCAGCCGCGACCTCACCCATGAGGTGCTTTCCTGGGCTTAGCTGGACAGCGAGGTGGGGGTGTGGAGTCCGGACACGTCGGCGCAGGGCACAGTTCAGCCTCCGTGGGTGGGTGCCCGAGGGGCAGGGGCCCTCCCAAGCAGCCCGCCCCGGCACGCCCCCGCCCTTTGGCCCCAGCGCCTGGAGAGGGAGCCAAGGGTTCCTGCGAGGGCCCCGCGCTGGGCCCAGACCGAGGAGCAGGACGGGGGCCCATCGGGCATTTGGGTTTCTTTGAGCAAAACCAGTTAGGCCTGGGCGGCCGCATCCTGCAGACAGGAGGGCATCGGGGGGCGGGGGGGAGCGGGAAGGGGGGGTGAGGGCCAGGGGATGCCCATCGCCGATGGCCTCCAGGCTGCCCCCGCCTCACTGCCCTCAGGATCTGTTTCTGGGGGAGCCGAGCCCGTATTTAGGGTCCAGGCAGGCGACCTGGGGCTTGGGGTGGCGAGTCCATCGGGTGCACACCGCGCCCCGGTCAGTCTCCCGTCCTGGCCCCCCGGCCACCCTGGGTGAGGCTCCCAGGACCTTCTAGCTGGGCCCACGGTCACCTGTCCAGCGTGCATGTGTCCCCTCCATTTGTCCGTTGCTCCGACTCCCTGCTCGGGGCCTGGAGCTTGACGCCTCTCCCCGTGCGCCCTCCTGGGCACCCTCGGGGCTTCCTGTGGGGGCGCCCGCACCACCCTGCTGTCCACCCGCAGCTGCGATGGGCCAGGTGCCAACTGGCCATGCGGGAGCCGCCGTGCCGGGCTTCGGGGGGTAGGACGCGGCACTCTGAGCCCGGAGCCCAGGACGCTGCCAGCGCCCCGCTCTGTGCCAGGAGGGGAGGGGAGGCCCAGCCAGCGTCTCCCCTGGAGGCCGGCAGCGTGGGGCTGTCGCGGATGCTGGGGGCAGCGAGGCAGAGGCCGCGGCCCGAGGAGCCTGGGGGCTAGTGTGGGCCTGGGGCCCCCACGCCTGGGCGTCCTCGGGGAGAGAACACCGCGCGGACGAGGCCGGGCCACGGCAGGGGCGTCCCGGTGGGGGCTCCGTGGGCAGGGCGGCCCGGCCTCTCCCCGTCCTCTCTGGTCCTCTCTGGTCCCCTCAGGCTCCTCCTGGTCGCCGGGCTGGCGGCTCTGCTGCTGCGGGAGGCGGGCTCGGCTTCCTTGGCCCAGGTACGTGCAGGCCCTGCGCCCGGCCCCGGCAAGGGAGGTCAAGACAGGGCACAAGGTGGGGGCCCCGACGGCAAGGGCCCGTGGGTGCCGGGGCGGGGGGACTGAGCAGGGGCGTCCGCTGGGCAAGGCGGCCCAGGTGGAGCAGGGCCCCGATGCCTCGCGCCCCGCCGGCCAGTGCAGGGCTCGTCCTGTCCTCGTGCCCTGCGGCCGGGGGCCCTCTCTGCAGATGACCATGTGCCCCCACCCGCCTCGCCCCACCCCGCCCTGCACACCTGGAAGAGACCAGGTCAGGGGAAGGCCCCCCTCCTGGCAACAGACAGCAGGTCGCTCCCCGCGGCACCGCTTCGTCGGCCGCCCTGTGCTCAGACTGCTGCACGGAGGCTCAAGGGCAGGGCCCTCCTCGGGCCACTGGGGTCCAGACGCAGCCCCAGGGGTTGCCCGGTCTGCCCATCCAGTCCCCAGTGGGTGGGGTGCCCTGGCCGGTGTGGTCCTCTGCCCTCGGCCCTGTGCAGGCCACGAAGCACACACTTGCCAACTCGCTTCCAGGGCCTCGTCAGGACCAACGGCAAAGTTGGGGCCCCTGAGCAGGACCCAGAGGGGTGAGTGCCCCCAGCACCCCTTCCACACCCCCTGCTCTGGCCCCGCCCAGGAGCTCCCTTAGCTAAGGGTGTTGGTGGGTGGAGGGAGAGGGGGCAATGCTCCAGCCAGTAGGGCCCCCTGGGATCTGTCAGCGACCTACGGGGGCACAGGCCGGGGTGGGGGGCCTTCCCGCAGCCCCCAGACCCCCACACCCTGGGCCACAGGCACGGCCGGAGGCGCTGTAGGTCGCATCCCCTCCTCGCTCGCCCTCGCTGGAGGCATTTCTCCCCGGGGGCCCCCAGCCTGTGAGGGCCTGGCCTTGGAGCAGGGGCTCCTGCTCAGCTCTCGGGGTCTCCAGGTCCTGGAGATTTGCTCAGGGGACGCCCTCGGGGACGCAGCCAGGGATAGGGTGGGGATGCCTGGGCTGTGAGTCTGGGGTCCCCTGAAGGTGGCCTGGCCATAGCTCCCCGCGGGGGCACACGGGGGGGTGGGGAGCAGTGGTGCTTGTGCTGGGCCCCAGGGCAGCTGGCCAGTGACGGAACCGAGCCACCGAGGACCCTGGAGCCGCCGAGGACCCCGGTGGGGAGCAACCGGCCTCGAGCCAGGGCCCCCGGCTGCTCACTGGGTGGTGGGCCCCTGGGTGGGGCGGCCCGGCTGCCTCCTGGGGCGCAAGCAGACCTGACCCAGCTGTGCTCCCAGGGCCCGGGGCGCCCACATGCTGGAGACGCTGAAACACGACAACCAGCCGACGGGGCTCCTCATGGCCCCAAAGCTGGCAGCTGCCACGTGGGCAACATGGCAAGGTCAAGGTGGGCACCCCCGGGGGGCAGGGTCCTGGCAGGGGAGCCGCGTGGGGCCCACTTCCCTCACCCCCCTCTTGTCTGCAGGCTCCGAGGCCCAGGTGGGGGCGGAGGGCACCTGGGGCCGTGCCCCCAGCTGGGACCCTGAGCCGGACCGTGACAGCCTGTACCACCCCCCGCCCGAGGAGGCCCAGGGCCCGGCGCGGCTCTGGCCGTGGGTGCTCCCACCTCAGCAGGTGCTTCAAGGGCCGGAGGAGGACCGAGACCACATCTACCACCCCAGGGAGGCCTCCTGGGGGCCCTGACCCTCCCGAGCTGGAAAAATAAAGCTTGCAGAGGCCACGAGTGTCTTTGGGAGGCGCGTCCGTGGTCAGAGCCCGCTGTCCGGGGGAGGAAGGCCCCGGTCCTCGCAGCTTGGGAGCCCCCGAGGCCCCCAGCCTGGCAGCCCTGCTCCTTGAAGGGCTTGTGCCCTTGGCGCCCCCCGCGCCTGGTGGAGGTCAGCCCCCCACAGACGGGCTGCCGGGGCGGGCAGGACTCCGGCCCCGACTCCCGGTCCTCACTCTCTGGGTGCTTGCCCGGCGCCGTCTGAGGTCCGGGGCTCCACACCCTATCCCTGGGGCCGTGGGCTGGGGCTCAGGCGCAGGGACCGAGTGGGAGGGGCTGAGCCGCACGTGCGGGGCGGGGGGGGGGGGGTGCTCCCGCGTGGCGGTCACGGCCTCGCACCTGGAGGGAGGGAAGCACTTGGCGCCTCTGCCCCGCACGCGGGACACAGGGTGAAACACTGGGCAGAGGCCACCAAGCTCTCGCTGCTGCCTGGGGACGATGAGCTCGTGAGGGTGACCTCACGCCCCAGGGCTGGGTGTCCGCCCGTGGGTCCCCTCTGAGGACTTGGACGGCAGCCCACACCCGAAGCTCTGCTTGAGGGCCCACGTGCCTCACCACCTGGCGTCACCCCGTGTTCCTGATGGAGGGACCCCAGATGGACGGTGAGCTCACGGGGCAGCCGGGCGACGTGAGTACTGGGACCCCACGTGGGCTCTGAGGCCGGCACAGCCGAGGGCTCACGGTCCCTCCCGTCGGTCAAGGACGGCATCTCTGAGCCGTGTGGGTTCGGGCGGCACCCGGCTCGGATGCAAGGGCAGGGGTGCCCCGGCCCCGGGCAGCCCGGGGAGTCTGTGGCCAGGTCACGCGGCCGGGAACCCCTGCAGAGGCCGGGCCAGCTGGGGACCCGGGAGTGTGCGAGCCGCGTGAGCGGGAGACAGCGTGGAGGCAAGAGGCTCCCACGTGTACAGTTTAGAACACGTCACTCAAGCCTCAGTAAGGCCGTTCAGAGGCGTCTGTGTGGCCGAAGTGGCCGTGGGCTCAGGGCGCCGAGGGTAAGCCCTGCAGGGAACAGGGCACAGTCCCCCCCCAGGCCGAGCCCCGATGCTCAGCCCAGCGGGCCTGTCGGCCCCCCACGACCTCCGGGACACCAGCCCTGGTCCCAAACACGGGAGCCAGCGGCCCGGGAGCCCCGTTCATGCCCGCGCCGGCACCCACGAGGCCGGAGGAAGGCCTGGAGGGGAGGGGGAGGCTTGGGGGAGACCCTGGGGTCCAGAGCAGGGGTGGCGGGTGCTCCCACCCAAGACCAGCCCGAGCCCCAGCCCACTGCCTCCCTCGTGCCGGCTTCAGGCAGGTTGACCTGCGCCTGTGGGGTCGGGGGGCACCCCCGGGACGGTACCACCCCCTCCCCCTGCCATTTCCCAGGACCCGGAGCCTCCTGGTGTTGAGGAGGCACGAGCCCCACAGATGGAGCAGAGCCCGGCCCCCAGGGGAGTGGCCCCCTCACCACCACCTGCCACCACCTGCCCTCCCGCCTGGTCTCCTCCAGGCCCACCCGAGAGTCCCCAGCCCCGGGGGCTCCACCCGCCGCCAGGGCTCCTGCGGGGCAGTCACCGCCCCCCCACCGTGGGGGCTGCAGGCCTGTGAGCTCTCGCTCCAAACCCAGGGGCCTGCTCAGAGTCAGGCCACCCAAACCTGCAGGGTGGGGGGCGGGGGAGGCCTCCTTCCCCCCTGGTGATGGGGGTCGTCGGAGGGGCCAACGGCTCCCTTGTGCGCAGCACCACATGGGCCTTTGTGAGGATGCGGCTGTTGTTGAAACCTTCACATCACGGCCGTAAATCGGGTGACCCGGGTCCCCGGCGGTCCCCCCACCCCGGCCCGGCCGGCCCCGCCGGACCCTGCAGCTAGGCGGGGGCGGGGCCACTGCTCTGTGGTCCGGCTCAGGCATCCAGCTGCGTCTCTGGGCGCGGTGGTCTAGGGCGCATCCAGGGCCAGCACCCCCTTCCTGAGGATGAGGTTTCCGTAGAGAGCCGTCTCCCTGCGGGAGGGGCGGAGCTGAGCACGGGGTGGGGGGAGTCCAGGAACTAGTCCTCAGGCAAATCCCTGGACAACCCCGTTCCCAGTGGGGCCTCTAGTGTCAGCTGGGGCAGGGGCCGAGGGGGGGCAGGGGAGCGCCCCAATCCACCCTGACCCGCAGGACCCCGCACTCACCCAGTTGCTACCACAGCAAAAGCCTTCTTGGCGCGCTCATAAAACGCAAACCTCTCTACCGTGGCCAGGGCGCCCTGGAGGCACAAGGGGCACGAGGGCCTTGCTCAGAGGACCTCGGGGCCCAGCGGGCACAGGGGCACGAGAGGCAGGGCCGCTCAGGGTCTCCCTTCTCGGTCTCCCGGCTGGGGTCCCAAGGGTGCTCAGCCTGTGAGCGGGGAGGACTGGACGGGCAGGGACATGGGGGGGCGGTGGTGGCCGGCTGCCTGGGGCCCCGTGTCCCTCGGAGTTGGCGCGAGGGCCCCTCCAGCCCCCCTGCCCTTCAGGTGGGTCCTGCCCGAGATGTGCCAGTGGGAGGTCCCGGGAGGGCAAGTGCATCCCCTCGCACAGCCTCGGGCCAGGGATACCCCGTGGCCCCTGGCCCCCCTCGGTCACCTGGGCCGGTCGAGGGACCTCAGGCAAGGACCGGATCGCGACCCGAGAGGGCAGGAGGCTGGGGGCAGCCCCATCCCCAGGGTCACTCTACTGGGAAGGCTGGGACAAGCGCAGGGGGGTGTGGGGCCCCGCCTTTGACTCCTCCCAGCCTCCGAGGAGGTGCAGAGGGTCCCGAGGGCCTTCCCGGCGGGGCTGCGCCTCACCTCGCAGCCGGCCCCCGACAGGATGGACTGGTAGGTCCCCCACACGGGAGTCTGAAGGCCCCTCTTCCTGTCGCTGGGCACCAGCTCCATGACGGCAGCCTAGGGACAGAGGGGGCGGCTCTGGCCTATGCATCCGGCTGCCCTGGGCACTTCCAGCCCCCACCCCGCTGGGTGACAGCTCAGGGCTCCTCTGACCGGGACAGGGCCCTCTGGGGACACATGCCCCCCACCCCCCTGCCAGCCTTCAAGCAAGTGGACCCTCTGGGGCCTGAGGAAGCAGAGACCGAGGCCCAAAGCGGGGAGGGGCGACGGGCGCTCACCGGGCTCTCCACGTAGGTGTCCAGGGGCAGCAGCTGCAGCACGGCCTCCAGCAGCGGCGGGATGCCCAGGCCTGAGGGCGGAGTGCCACCTCAGGTCACGCTGCCGTCCCTGCCCGCCAGCAGTGCACCCGCCCTCCCGGCCCGCGCACGCCCTTTGCCCGGGGCCCCAAGCCCCAAGCCAGCCAGCAGGGATGGACTTGGGCCGGGACAGAGCAGGGGCTGCCGGCCTGGCGACACTTGCCGGGGTCGCACGGGCACCACCCTGCCCTGGCCCAGCGCCTGAGGCCGCGCTGCCCGTGGGCTTGCCCTTCCACCCCCCACCCCCCTCACCCCACACCGCGCAAACCTCAACACTCACCAGCAGGGACACCTGGGCCCCTTCCCTGACCCCAGGACTCCCCCCGTGACCCCTGAGCTGCCACCTGTACCCTGGGGCCTGGGGCTCTGGGAAGAGGCTGTTCTTGCCCCAGTCTGCCCCCAGACCCGTCCCACTGGTCCCCAAGGTCCCTGCTCTCCGGTAAAGCGGGTTTCTGACTGTTAAAGGAACTCCCGCTGCTTGCGCAACGCTGACAACTGCTTGTGCGGAGCTGGTGACAGCCCGTTGGGATCTCACGAGCCTGCCGCCCTGAGCGCCTTCTCTTCTGCCTTTTTCCCGGCTTTTCTCTGTGGTCAGGCTCGTACCTGGCTGCGACTCCTACCGGCTTGTTTCCCTCGAACACGCAGGGCGTGTGGGTCACGCGGCAGCTGGGCCGTCCCCTGTCCCCCAGCATTCCGGCCTTTCCCTTGTCCCCTCCTCCTTGGGGAGGAAAGCATGTTGGGGCACCTGGCGCCCAGCGTAAGCTGAGGCCCGGCTGGCTCTTCTCCTTCCACAGGGAGTGGAAGCCACGGCCACTGGGTCGGGGGCCAGCAGCCGGCGAACGGGCCTCAGACCACTGGCCGGCTCTGCCCACAGGGGCTGCTTGACCCTACACCTCACATCTCCGTGCCTCAGTGGCCTCAGTTTTGCAGGGAGGGTCGTGTCGCCGCTCCTGGCACTGCTGAGGGCGGGGAGCCAGCCAGGCCCCACCTGAGCCCACTGCAGCCAGGTAGGAAGGACAGGGCAGGACAGGTGCCCTCACGCCAGCCCCTGCTCCTGGTACTCACTCTGCTACTGCCTTCATGGTGGAGACCCGGCCCCAGGCCCCCCCCCCCACCCCGTCCCCGTCCCTGCCGGGTCTCCCCAGGGCCAGAGGGTCTCAGACACAGAGCACGTGGGCACCTGGAGCCTGGGAGGTGAGGTCACCAGTGCTGGGATTTCTATGGCAGAGCAAAAGCTGAACACGTGACCTGGGTCGTGGGGGCCAGGGGTGCACCTGTGCTCAGCCAGCCAACAGCCCGCTGGGCCTCAGTTTCCCCTCTTGCAAGAAGTTACCAAGACGTGTCTGAGCCGGAGCAGGAGGCCCAAGGTCACCCCTCCTCGCGGCCCGGCACTGGGATGCCCTGGGTCGCGGAGGGTGTGGGGCCGCGGCTGGGGTGGGGGCAGGGCGGGGCACCTGGGCAGCTGGGACCGCCGCGCCCCGGGGCGCTCACCGTCAGCGCGGAGCTCCTCGGGGCCGCACTTGCATATGGAGGCCGTGGGGAAGTTCACATCTGCGAGCACTGAAGGGCCCGCCAAGCCGTGAGACACCCCGCTGGGCCCCCCCAACCGCGGGCCGCAGACCACGCCCCTGCCCCTCCCCCTCCCCTCAGGGCGGAGGGAGTCTCCGAGGGCAGGAGCAGCTGCAGGTGTCCCCAGGGCGCGGGTGGGGACGGAGGCCCCCCCCAGGGATCCGCCCCCGGGGGCCGCCGTCCTGACCGCCGGGCTGACCTCGGCCTGGGCGGGGGGTGGGGCTGGGGGTGGGGGCAGCAGGGGGAGCCCGGGGCGGCCAGAGCAAGGGGGGCCCGGCTCCTCCCGGACCCCAGCGGGGCGTGGGGCGGTGGGGGCCCCGCGCGCGCCTCGCCGGGTCTGCCCGGGGGTGGGGGTCCCGAGGCCCCGTCCCCGCTCACCGATCTCGTCTCCGTGCCCCATGCGCGCCAGGGCGTAGAGCAGCTCCGGGGAGAGCAGCGCGGGGACGCCCTTTAGCACCACCATGGTCCGGGGCCTGGCGGGGCGGGGCGGGGCCTCGGAAGGGGCGGGGCCAGCGCTCGGGGCGGGGCCAGAGGGCGGAGCCGGGCTCGCCGGGGGGGCGGGGCTTCGTGGAAGGTCGGGGCCTGCACTCGGGGGCGGGGCCAGAGGGGCGGAGCCTGGCTCGCCGGGAGGGGCGGGGCCTGCAGCGGGCTCGTCCGGGAGGCGGGGCGTCCAGCAGGGGCGGAGCCGGGCTCGGCCGGAGGGGCGTGGCCTCGGGGGAGGGCGGGGCCTGCGGCCGGGGGCGGGGCGGCGGCGCAGAGGGTCCCCCCGCCGCGCCCGGAGGTCTGGCAGCCCTGAGGACCGTGGCCGCGGCTCGCAGGCTGACCGGGGCTGGGGCGACCACCGGCCCGGCCTCTCCGGCATCTTCCGGGGCCCCGCGTCCGTCGCCGGGTCCAAGACCGCAGCGCCCCGAGCTCCCCGCTGCCGCCCCCGCCCCCGCCGACCCTCACTGCGGCCCCAGCCCGCCGGGTTCCTGGTCGCTGGGTGAGGGTGGCCAGACCCCGACTTCTCCGGCCAGCACTGTTCGCAGGACACCCGTGGGCCTGCCCTGGGGGACAGGCAGGTGTGCCGGGAGCACCTGGTTGGGGGTCTCCACCTGGTCTCCCCGGCGCCGGGACCCCTCGGTGCAGAGTGGGGTGCAGCGTCCCAGCCCGGGACAGCAGGGACCTGACTGCCCTTCCTCCTCAGGACCGGATCTTCCCATCCCCCACCCACCAAGATGGGGTGTCTGGCGGGGAGGGCGGGGAGGGAGGGTGTGGCGGGGCTGGGTCCACCCCTCTTTCCCTTGAACAGGGGGAGCACCTTGCCTCCAGCTGCCAGGGTCTCTGCCTGCTTGGCCCTTGTCCCTGGAGACTGGACTCTGGGTGCCCGGCTCCCTCCTTAAGCTCTTCAGAGCCAGGCCCCGGGCACACTGCTCTCCTGGTCAGGTGCCACCGCCATCCACTGCACTCCCTGCGGGAAGACGCCCACCCTGGGCTGCACGGCACAGCCCCCCTGTTCAGGCCCCGATCCTGGTTGAGTGTAGCAGACTCTCCGGAAGCCGCGGGCAGCCCTGTCGGGGCACCAGGCACTGAGATGGGGCCTGTTCCCTTCCCTTGAACCAGGGGGGCCTTCGCTGGGAATGGTGGTGCCTGGCTTCTGAGTTAGGTCATAAGGGCAGTACGGCTTCCTCCTCATCCTCTCCCTCCTCAGGACTTGTCCCGGGAACCCAGGCACAGGATTGGCAGGAAGCCCAGGGCACAGAGAGCCTCCCTGTGCACGTGGTGGCCCTGGCCCCAGGTAGGCCCCGCTGGTGCAGCACCAAGCACCAGACGAGTGAGCGAGGTCCCGGACATAGCGCGGTGACGAGCTGACCCACTGTGGCGCGTCTGGGTTCCTGACCCACACAGCCTGCCCGATGCCGGAGGCTCCTGGGCCCTGCCGACACTGCCCTCGGCCTTCCGATCCCTCTCGCACACTCAGGCTGGAGGCAGACAGCGGTGCGGGTGCCCACGCGTGTGCTCACCAGTCCCACCCAGAGCCGTGGCCGGGCTGTCTCCCTCTGGAGCCCGCCTTCCTCTGCTTCCTTCCCGAATGGACTCATGGCCGGTGGTCGGTGCTCTTGTCGTGACCCCCAGCCCTGCGCTGACATGAGATGCTGGGCGGCCTGGCCACTCCTGGGAAGGTTTTATACACCAAAGACAACAAAGCCACACCAAAACCTGATGAGAATCAAGATGCCCGTTTTACTGCTGGGCCCTGGGGAGCCCTGCTGGCCGAGGGAGCCAGCTGGGAGCCAGCCTGGGATCTAGCAGGGCCGGGAACACAGGGCCTTGGGCTGGCCCCGCTGGGCATGATGGGACCAGGAGCTGTGCAGGGAACGGGGAGGGAAGGCCAGCAGGCCCTGCACCTCGGCCACCCAGGCGGCATAGGTGAGAAGGTGAGGTTTCAGCTCTAAAAAATCAGAATCCCAAACAACATGGAGCCAGAGGTCCATTAACTCCGAGGGGGTGGAGCTTCCATATGGGGCTGTGGCCCTTGGGACAGTCCTGCTCAGGGTTGTCAGTAATGCCATCTGTCTCCCGCAGCAAATGGCACTGAGCCTCATGGCCATCCTGCTAGGCACCAGGGCCCACCCGATGCCTTGGAGACTGTGCGTCCCAGGGTCTGCCCTGGTTCTGATCCAGGTCTCGGCATTTAAGCAAACACCCTGGGGGCCCCCTGGGTGGCTCAGCAGTTGAGTGTCGCCTTTGGTTCAGGCCGTGACCCCAGAGTCCCGGGATCGAGTCCCACGACGGGCTCCCCGCATGGAGCCTGCTTCTCCCTCTGCCTATGTCTCTGCCTCTATCATAAATGAATAAATCTTTAAAAAAAAAAAAAGGAAAAAGGTAAAAGAAATGCGGATGTGCAATTCTGCTTTCATAAAAAGAGCACTGAGCCACGTCGGTGTATGCAGGTGCTTGTGTGTGCATGTGTGTGCACAGAAGCACCTAGAAAGCTACGTTCCAGTTAACGGCGGTTACCCTGGGAGTGTGCCGGGTGACTTACTTTCTGGACTTCCCTTCCGTTTGACCATTGTCACACAATGACAAAAGTCTGAAGAGCGACGTGGCGTCTGCTTACGAGGAGAGGCACAGCGTGATTTCCGTCCGCTGTGTGCCGGTGGCGCCCTCCTCCAAGCGTCACATTCACAGGCTGCGAAGCTGCACAGCGACCGGGGGAACGCGCGTCCATCCTAACACGGCAGGCTGTACAGAGTGAGTCTGGCATCGGAATATCTCAGTCCCTAAAGTCAAGTAAAAACTTACACACACCACTGAGGGCTCACCAGCAGGATTTTTTTAGGGTTATTTATTTGACAGAGAGAGAGAGAGAGCTCAAGTGTGCACACGAGTGTGGGGAGGAGCAGACGGAGGGTCTGAAGCCGACTCCCCACCAAGCAGGGAGCCTGATGCAGGGCTCAGCCCCACGACCCTGAGATTATGACCTGGGCTCAGTGCCGGCCACGTAACCGACTGCGTCGCCCAAGCTCCCCTAGTGAGGATTTGTGTGTGTGTGTGTGTGTGTGTGTGTGTGAGTGTGTGTGTGAGAATTGATTAAGAATCTGCTCAGTCAGAATGAGAACAGGCTCCAGACACGGAGTCTCAGGACCACCGGGTGAAGACCGCCCCCACTCAGGAGAGCGAGAGCCCCGAGCGTCAGAGAGACTGCGTGCGGCCTACAGGGCCCTTTACTAGAGAATTTATTTGCTTCTAAGACCATCAGACCGTAATTTCTGTCTTCAAAGTTGAGGGTTCAAGGCGGAGGCAGAGGCACTCACTGGTCTTTGAAGCTGGCCTTTCTCTTTTCCACAAACGCGGTCATCCCTTCCTTCCGGTCTTCCTGGTGGGAGAAGGAAAATAGGCAGAGATGGACGTTCCCGGTTTCCTACAGGCGGAGGCGCAGGCTCGGCCCGTTTCTGGGTTTGCTCTCGGTCTGCTGGGCTCCTCTGACAGATTCCCAGGGTGGGGAGGGTCCTGCCCCGGGACCGCCTGTGCACCTGCGCACGGCCTGGAACCCCGGCCACCGGAGCCCCCAGGGGTGATCATCCAAGAACCACGGCTTCGTGTGTCAAACTCTCACCCAGGGAACCTCAGATGTACCTGCTTGGGCCGTTCATTAATTCGCCTCCTGGGTTAGTGGCGGTCCGCGTGGAGGACCATCCTGAGCGCCATGGAGCAGGACACAGGCGTGCAAGCCCTAGCCCTACACCTTCCCTGCGTGCACGCACGAGCGTGCACATGGTCACACGCACGCCTTCACTTCCTCGAGGGCCACGGCCGTTTCCAAGCTCCCATAAAACACACCTGTCTAGGACTCTAATCGCGGCAGGTGGGTTTCAATGCCTGTTACGAGAAGGACTGCCTCTCGCTTACTGTCAAATCCTGCAGGACACTGTTCTGAAGCCTCAGAATGCAGCATTAGATACATTCCAACTCCACGCCAAGTCGTTGGAACGATCTAGAAAATTATGGCAGATGGATTGCCTTTAAATACAGGAGGCTGCCTTTTAAGGGCGCGATTCCTGATTCCTGAGACCTTGGTCAAGGATGTAACGCTTCATACTTTGGGCAGTTATTTGCTAATTGTGCTCGTGGGCAGGACGCATCCGATCCAGCTGTGGGGCGGCAGACAACTCGTTTACCGCAGCCCTACGGGACCTCCCCGGCGCGCTCTCTGGCTGGGCCCCGCGTCCGTCCACCCCAACGCTCACTCACGGTAGCGAAAGTCGCGTAGAAGAGCCTCTTCTCCAGCCTGTTTCCCTCCGTTAGCGTCATTTCAAAAGCTGAAAAGAAATCCCTTAGGTTATGACCCAGGGGCAGATGTGGGAACAGACAACTCTTCATGGGGACAGGAAACACTCCCCACTGACCCAATCAACCTCGATTTTGTCGTGATATCGTGACCTACATGGTCGCCTACGAACACCCCCTCCCCCACCCCCTGCCCCCGGCTTCCCACTGGCAGCCCCACAGGAGAGGAACAAGGAATGGAGTCAAGAGTGCGATGGCCAACTCTGTGCAAGCACAAGAGGACTGGAGGGCCAAGAGAATCACATACAACTTATTATTTTTTAAGATTTTTTTTTTAAGATTTTATCTATTTATTCATGAGAGACACAGAGAGAGAGAGAGGGGCAAAGACACAGGCAGAGGGGGAAGCAGGCTCCATGCAGGGAGCCCGACGTGGGACTCGATCCCAGGTTTCCAGGATCAGGCCCTGGGGTGAAGGCGGCGCTAAACCACTGACCCACCAGGGCTGCCCTATTTTTTAAAATGTTATGTTGAGAGAAACTGTGAGCGTGTACGAGCAGGCGCAGGGGCAGCGCGAGGGGCACAGTCACAAGCAGACCCCCGCTGAGCACGGAGCTGGAGCCGGAGCTCGGCCCCCCGACCTGACATCACGACCTGAGCCAGGAGTCAGACGCTCTGTGGGCTGAGCCACCCAGGTGCCCCCCCGGAATTACATATATTTTAAAAAGCATTAAAAAAATGAGAATGAAGGGGCAGCCCGGGGGGGCTCAGCGGTTTAGCGCCGCCTTCAGCCCAGGGTGTGATCCTGGAGACCTGAGATCGAGTCCTGCGTCGGGCTCCCTGCATGGAGCCTGCTTCTCCCTCTGCCTGAGTCTCTGCTTCTCTGTGTGTGTCTCATAAATAAATAAATAAAATAAAAAAAAATGAGAATGAAGGATGAAAACCGTAAAAAATGCTGTGCCATAACAGAGTCCTGGGCGGGCAGGGCACCGTGGCCCCGGGAAGGCGAAGTGGTGCCCCTGGCTGAGCACCTGGACGGACAGCAGGCGCCTGGACAGCACAAGCAGCGGGGGCCGCCTCCGCGTGAGCTAACTGCTCATCCTGTGGGGACGCGTCACCCACGGCGGCTCAGCCAAGGCCAGCAGCCCGGGGGGCCCGCCCGCCTCCCTGCAGAGGAGCCGCAGACCCGAGCATCCGGCTCACAGCCCCCCGGCCCCCTCAGCCCCCAGGCTCGTGGCCCCCCAGCAGGCAGTGGCGAGCAAGCCGGCAGCTGACCCCAGTGCCGAGGACAGCAGGCTCCGTGAAGACACAAGGATGCTCAGTGGGGCCAGAGCTGCCCTGCCGGTAGGGCGGATGGAGAGTCCGGGGCAACAAGAAGCAGCCTGGACTGTCCGCGGTCACCCGGGTGTCCCGTGAGCCTGTGCCGCCCGCCAGGCTGCCCCACGGCAGGCACAGCCATTGGCCGAGGACGGGGTATCGTCCGCCGGGTCCCGGGATGTGCACTGGGTTTCCCGGGAGCCCGGCTGGCTTTCCTTCAGGGACCGTCCTGGCCTCCCAGCCATTTCCCTGCACCCCTGCACCCCTGCCCCTCTGCCCCGCAGGCTGGCTCCTTCCTTGGGTCCTGATACCAAGGACGCTTGGAACATTTCAGGATAACGTGTGACACAGCAAACAAAACCCAGGACTCCACCAAGAGCCAGACCCCACCATCAAGAGTCCAGGGCCAGTTAGGACGTGAATCTGGACTCCCGGCTGTGGGGCTCCTGTGCTGTCGGGCCCTCGGAGCTTCTCCTACCTGCGTTCACGGACTCCTTGGCCATTGCTGTTACGATCTTAGAATTGCTGGCAATTTTCTCTGCACACCGGATGGCTTCTTCGACCAAGGTCTCCACGGGAAAAATCTTGCTCACGAGACCTAAAACACACACAGGCGGGTGCCAAGTGGAAGCAGCACTGGCGGTGCCCGAGTCACGGTGCGGCTCTAGAGCTGGGGCTGTGCGGTGCTAACAAGGGGCTGCAGAGTCCCCGAGTGGGGCCACCAGGCTCCTACAGACACGTCAACAGGGAGGACGGGCGGTCAGCCAGGGGCGGGGAAAGGGTGTGTGGGCGGAGGGTCTCGGGAATCCCCCACTGCTGACCCGGGTGGGGAACCGGGATGGTTTTATCAGGACTCTAAGCACACGTCTACTTTAGCCGCTCTCGTGTCTGTGCGGCGTCCCAAGTAAAACACAGTCAGCCGTCTCCTGGGTTCTCAGGACACCCGAGATCACCGTGCTCGCCACCCGTGGGTGCAGCCCCCCACCCCTGCCTCCACTCGACTCCCCGTGAGGGTGGCTCTGTGGGGTGGCCCTGGCCCGCACCTGCTTGCTTGGCATCCTGGGCAGAGATCCGGTCACCGGTGAGGACCATCTCCATGGCCAGCGACTTTCCAACAGCGCGGGTCAGTCTCTGGGTGCCCCCTGCACCTGCAGAGATAGACGGCCACAGGTCACAGTCGGCTCCCGGCCAGCGCACGCCAAGATGACACGGACACACCCGCAGCCAGCTCCGAGGCGCGGGAGGGGCCTGCTGGGTGGGGCAGGCGGGCAGCAAGGAGGCAGCCCACGAAACCTCAGGGGGGGTCCTTTCCACAGGGGGGGGCTGGCACATTGGGGCCCTGCAGCTCTGAGCCTGGCCCGGTCCAGCCTGGGGGGCAGCAAGGGCTCTGCCCCCCCGGGCACCCTGGGCGTGGCCTGTCCCCGAGCTCCCGTCCTTGGTGCCCCCACCTCCTGCGGACCCGACACCCTGTGGCAGGAACACCAGCGGTCTGCCCTGTCATCTGCCCCACAGTGAAGCCTGGGCCGCCCCGTGAGCCAAGGGACCACCTGGGGGGACCCACAATCCAACAGACCCAGGCGCTGCCTCAAGGAGGAGGAGGCCATGGGCACGGACAGGAAGAGCCCAGCACCCAGCAGAGCTCATGCAGGGCTTTGCTCACCCTCAGCCGACCCCAGACGCCCCTCCTGACCTCACCGCGCTCAGCAGATGTCCTGGGCCCCGGGCTCCACTTGCAGGCCAGAGACTCAGGGGCCAGAAGCCTGGAGTCCTCATCAGTGGCCCCGTTTGCCCACAGCTCCCCTCACCCGCCTCATGGGGATGGGATTCCCTGCTCTGCGGAACCCCAGGTCACCAGCAGGAATCACTGCAGTTGTAATGCAGTGGGTGGCCCAGCCCTTCCCAACAGCGTCCGATAAGGGACCGGGCGGTCATCAGGGAGCCCGCGCAGCCCCGAGGCCCTGGGGCCACTGTCGGAGCTCTGTGTCCCCTGGGGCTTAGTGTGCTGGTCAGCTCAAGAGGCAGAGGGCACAGCCAGGTGGCCGCCTGGCCGGCGCTCAAGGGACAGCCCAGGTCCCTCGCCAGGTGCAAGCTGCAGACTTCTGTCTATTACCGGAAACGCTCCAAAGCTCCCGAGGCTCCGGAGAATGGACCTGGAGACCTTACGCCAGAGACGTCGTCACTCTTTACCTGGGATGGTTCCTAGCAGGATCTCCGGCTGTGCAAACTGGGCTTTCTCTCCAGCATAAATAATGTCACACATCATAGCGAGTTCACAGCCGCCACCAAGCTGCAAAACATGAGGGCCCGCCAGGCGCCAGTCAGAAATTCAGTCCATTTGCTTACTTGAATTTGCAGTTAAGATGGACACGGCCCAGAGCGTAGCCGAGATTAGCACAGAGACGCGAGGTGAGTTAGCCACGAGGGCCGACGCTGGCGCTTCCCTCTGTGAAGTGCCCACGGCACATTCTTTGAGCTCTGGGGTCCCGCGGTCTCTGCGGGGCCGTGGGGCTCGACGGCAGCCAGAGTCCATGAACCAGCAGGCACCACTGTGGTCCAGGGAACCTGACGGGCTGGCCTCGCCTCACCCACACGGAGCTTCATTAACGGATCAGGAGCTGAGCTGCCCTCGGCTTCGCTACCATCGGCCCAGGGCCTCTGAGGGTCCACGCGCCCAGAGACCCTGACGCCACACAGAGCTCTCGATGGCAGCAGAAGAGGTGAGCCAGCGGGTGCGGCGGCCTACAGCCTAGTGGAGGGGAGACGTTCCTAGGAGTCATGGAGGCTGTGGGGAGGGGCTTTCCCAACAACGGAATGGGAAGCCAGCAGCGGGACAGCCGCCACGAAAGCTGTGCCACAGCGTGTCCTCCCTGCACTTCCGGGGTTTGCAGTGACACTCGGCAGGAGCGGCGTGCGGAGAGGGGACTTGGTCTGACACTCACAGCGTAGCCGTTGACGGCAGCTATGACCGGCTTCTTGACCCGGGCAAGTTGGTCCCAGTGGCTCAAGAACTTGCTCGAGTAACAGTCCTGGAATGTTTGGTTCTGCATTTCCTTGATATCGGCTCCAGCTGGAGAGAGGAAAGGAGGTCCCGGTTACCAGAGAGCAGAGACCCCGCTACAGCTGCACCCCCGGCCCGCAGGGAGCCACGAGTGTGCAGTGTGTAGGCTCCGGGGGCCGCTGGGAACGGCCACCTGCACAGAGCCGGACAGCGGGGACAGCGGGACAGGGCCTGGACTCGGACGGCGAGGCTTATTCACCAGGCACGGACCGAGCGTCAAGGACCCGAACCTCTGGACGCACTGACCTTGCTGGCACAGCACACGTTAGACGGGCAGAGCGGCTCTCCGAGCGGGACCCGGCTCCGTTTACACTTCAGGTTTAAACCCCAGGCTGCTCACGCCGCCCTGCCCGCCCCTCGCACACCTGGGCGACCAGCGCCACGCCGCCCACGCACCTGCAAACGCCTTCTCCCCGCCCGTGAGGACGATGGCCCCCACGCCCGGGTCCTCCTCGAAGGCCTCCAGGGCCTGGTTGAGCTCCGTCATCAGCCCGTTGCAGAGCGCGTTGAGTGCTTTGGGGCGGTTCAGCTGGATCAACCCCACGTTGCTGTTCTTCCCCTTCTTCTCCGTGATGATGTACTGGAAGTCAGCACCTGCGGGAAGAAAGCATTTCCACCCGCGAAGGCATCGGAGCAGCGGAATTTGCCCGTCAGCAGACAGAGTGACCCCGACCCGTCCCCTGCCCAGTCCTCGGGGAGCAGCACACAGCTCTCAGCCTCGTGGATGGTCTTTGCCCCAGCACCTACTTCCACACAAATCTGAGCATGTCTACCCTGTGACTCAGCAGGAACGAGGGACGGGGACATAGGTTCCTTCCCCCTTGAGGAATGGCAGCTGGGGGAGAGGACGGAGTGGGAGGCGCACACCGCTGAAGGGTGGCTGCCTCGGCCGGACAGGAGGGGTGACCTGCCAGGCCGCAGGTGGGTGTCTGCCCGGTGGCCTGAGGAGCACAGCGCCCCCCGGGGGTCTGGTGGGGAGGAACTCAGCAGAAGGGCTAAGCAGGGGCGCTGCACAGCCCAGGGAACGATTGCTGACCGCAGGTCAGGACCCACAAAGCAGCTCATCACAGGAACTGCGGGTAACGCCAACATGCCCTGGCAGCCGGGCAGCGAGTGGGTGCCTGGGTGAGGGAAGGAGCTGCAGGGACACCCCTCCCCCAGCTCAGGGAGGCCCGAGTCCCCAAGGAGCACTGCGGCCCTGGCCTGAGGGCTGAGTGGACGGGTCCAGCCAGCTGGGGCAGGGAGAGTCTGAACGGACTCGGGGACAGCAGCAGGCGGGAGGGACGCGCTGCGCACAGAGCACAGGACCTCTGCCAGCTCCCAGGCCCCACCTGCACCGCCTGTCAGTCCCGTAAATCCTGCAGGATTTTACCAACAACCAAACTGAAGCGACCAGAGCACTTGGTCCTAGCACTTGGTCGTGAGTCCCCCAGAGCTTGGCAGAGTGAGGCAGCAGGTGCTGGCAGGGGTGCCCAGCAGGACAGCAGAGGGGCGGGGCGGGCCCTGGGAGGAGCCAGGGTCCTGATGGGCTTGAGGTGGAGGAGGGCGAGGTGGGGGGGGTGGAGAAGGACTGAGGTTCAGGGGTGGGGGTGGAGGAAGGGGTGAGGTCCTGGGGGTCCGGCCTGAGGAGGGGTGAGGTCCGGGGGTCCGGCCGGAGGAGGGGTGAGGTCCGGGGGTCCGGCCGGAGGAGGGGTGAGGTCGGGGGGGTCCGGCCTGAGGAGGGGTGAGGTCGGGGGTCGGGGTGGAGGAGGGGTGAGGTCGGGGGGTCCGGCAGGAGGAGGGGTGAGGTCGGGGGGGTCCGGCAGGAGGAGGGGTGAGGTCGGGGGTCGGGGTGGAGGAGGGGTGAGGTCGGGGGGTCCGGCAGGAGGAGGGGTGAGGTCGGGGGGGTCCGGCCTGAGGAGGGGTGAGGTCGGGGGTCGGGGTGGAGGAGGGGTGAGGTCGGGGGGTCCGGCAGGAGGAGGGGTGAGGTCGGGGGGTCGGGGTGGAGGAGGGGTGACGTCGGGGGTCGGAGTGGAGGAGGGGTGACGTCGGGGGGTCCGGCCGGAGGAGGGGTGAGGTCGGGGGGTCCGGCCGGAGGAGGCGTGAGGTCGGGGGTCGGGGTGGAGGAGGGGTGAGGTCGGGGGGTCCGGCAGGAGGAGGGGTGAGGTCGGGGGGTCGGGGTGGAGGAGGGGTGACGTCGGGGGTCGGAGTGGAGGAGGGGTGACGTCGGGGGGTCCGGCCGGAGGAGGGGTGAGGTCGGGGGGTCCGGCCGGAGGAGGCGTGAGGTCGGGGGTCGGGGTGGAGGAGGGGTGAGGTCGGGGGTCCGGCAGGAGGAGGGGTGAGGTCGGGGGGTCGGGGTGGAGGAGGGGTGACGTCGGGGGTCGGAGTGGAGGAGGGGTGACGTCGGGGGGTCCGGCCGGAGGAGGGGTGAGGTCGGGGGGTCCGGCCGGAGGAGGCGTGAGGTCGGGGGTCGGGGTGGAGGAGGGGTGAGGTTGGGGGGTCGGGGTGGAGGAAGGGTGAGGTGTGGGGGGTCCGGCCTGAGGAGGGGTGAGGTCGGGGGGGTCCGGCCTGAGGAGGGGTGAGGTCGGGGGTCGGGGTGGAGGAGGGGTGAGGTGGGGGGGGTCCGGCCGGCGGAGGGGTGAGGTCGGGGGTCGGGGTGGAGGAGGGGTGACGTCGGGGGGTCGGGGTGGAGGAGGGGTGAGGTGGGGGGGGTCCGGCCGGCGGAGGGGTGAGGTCGGGGGTCGGGGTGGAGGAGGGGTGAGGTCGGGGGTCCGGCAGGAGGAGGGGTGAGGTCGGGGGGTCGGGGTGGAGGAGGGGTGACGTCGGGGGTCGGAGTGGAGGAGGGGTGACGTCGGGGGGTCCGGCCGGAGGAGGGGTGAGGTCGGGGGGTCCGGCCGGAGGAGGCGTGAGGTCGGGGGTCGGGGTGGAGGAGGGGTGAGGTTGGGGGGTCGGGGTGGAGGAAGGGTGAGGTGTGGGGGGTCCGGCCTGAGGAGGGGTGAGGTCGGGGGGGTCCGGCCTGAGGAGGGGTGAGGTCGGGGGTCGGGGTGGAGGAGGGGTGAGGTGGGGGGGGTCCGGCCGGCGGAGGGGTGAGGTCGGGGGTCGGGGTGGAGGAGGGGTGACGTCGGGGGGTCGGGGTGGAGGAGGGGTGAGGTGGGGGGGGTCCGGCCGGCGGAGGGGTGAGGTCGGGGGTCGGGGGCGCGGCGGCGGCGTCAGCCCCCAGCGGCCTCAGCCCCCCGCTCACCCGAGGCGAAGCGGCGCAGGGCGGCGCAGCGGGGCTGGGGGCGCAGCGGGCCGCGGACGAGGGGCAGCAGGACGCGCAGGGCAGCCATGATCCCCGAGGACAGCTCGCCCGCCCCGCCCCGCCCCGCCCCGCCCCGCGGAGCCGCCCCCGGCAGCGCCAGTCAGGGCCCGGCCCGCCTCCGGGCTGGCGTCGCGAGAAGGCGCAGGCATCGCGAGACCAGGGGGCGGCGGAAGGGGGCGGTGGAAGGGGGCGGGGCCGGGGGCCGGGAGCGGAAGGGGCGGGGCCGGGGCGGGGGCGGGGCCTCTGACTCCCAGCTGCGACCCGCGGGCCTGCGGGCGCCTCCCCCTGACCTCGGGTCCCTGCCCCCAAGCCCCGGGCTCGTTCCCCCACTTCCCCGGCGGCCCTGCGGGCTGGAGGCGGGGCGGGGAGCCGGACGTCCGGGCGCTGCTCTCGGAACGCGGAGCCCGCGACGCCCCGGGACGCGCTCCCCGCCGCGGAGGTGTGCGGAGGAGTCCGGGGCCGGTGACCCAGGTCGCCCCTCCCCTGCGCCCTGTGCCTGTGGGCCTGGCCCGTGCAGTGGCCGCGGACGCCCGTGACTCCAGGCCGTGGGCAGTTTAATAAAAGGGGAAGATCAAGTTTAACGACGGTTCAGTCTTGGCGATGACCCTGAAGCGTGGAGACAGTGTCACCAGGCCCCGGTCCAGCTGTGCAGCGCGTGCACGCGGGGGACAGCCCCTCTACTAATGAAAAGTGAATCCCACCTTTTAAATAATGAGATTCAAGCCAGAATCGAATACTCACAACGTGTGTCTCCAGGTTGAGGGTGGAAGGAAGACATTCTCCTGCGACGAGAAACACCCCTGGCCTGTGCTAAAGGGTGTGGGTGAGGGCTGGGGGCTGGGGTCCAGGTGGCAGCGTCCTCCACTGAGGGACAGCGACAGAGAAATGTATGTGCATTGACCTTCAAAATAAAATTGGCTTATTTTACCAGCAAAAGTGTTTTTTTTTTTTTTTTCAGGAAAAGCAGAGAATTGCAATTAAGGACATGCAAGCTCTAGGAGAACCGTGGCCAGTGCAGCGGAGCAGCCGGACTTGGGAGGGGTTGCTCTGACCTCCACTGGACACCAGCAGGAGGTCAAGCTGGGTTGCAGGGGGGTCTGGGTCGTGTGGACCTGGCAATGTTCACTTTTCCTGTTGGGGCCTGCAGTTGGCTCCTTTTTTTTCTTTCTTTTTTTTTCTTTTTCTGCAGTTGGCTCCTGTTGAGGCTTCTTCCCTTGGGGTCTGTCATTCACAGGTCTGCAATCAGCAGGGAGTGCTGGCGCTCCCCCTTTGGCCTCCCGACTCCATTTTGGTCAGGTTTCCCTTTCTTAATTTTCATATCTATATATCTGTATTTAGGTAAATTGGGCTTCAGCAAAATTAAGAACTTTTGTGTTTCAAAGGATAGCATGAAGAAGGTGAAAAGACAACCCACAGAATGGAAGGAAAGTTTTACAAATCATATCTGGTAAGGGTGTTCTATCTAGTATATATAAAGAACACTTTATAACCCCGTAAAAAAGACAAACCATTAAGAAGTGGGCAAAAGAGGGGAGCCTGGCTGGCTCAGTTGGAAGGACATGCTGCTCTTGATCTCAGGGTACTGAGCTTGAGCCCCGTGTTGGGTATAGAGATTAAAAAAAAAAAAAAAACTTAAAAAAAATGGGCAAAGGACTGAACAGAAATTTCTCCAGTAAAGATGCACAAATGGGGGGCAGCCCGGGTGGCTCAAGGGTTAAGCATCTGCCTTTGGCCCAGGGCGTGACCCTGGAGACCGGGGATCAAGTCCCACGTCGGGCTCCCTGCATGGAGCCTGCTTCTCCCTCTGCCTCTCTCTCTCTCTCTCTCTCTCTCTCTCTAATGAGTAAATAAATAAAATCTTAAAAAAAAAAAACCTTTAATAAAAAAAAAGATACACAAATGGGCAGCCTTGGTGGCACAGTGGTTTAGCGCCACCTTCAGCCCAGAGCGTGATCCGGGGGTCCCAGGATCGAGTCCCAGGTTGGGCTCCCTGCATGGAGCCTGCTTCTCCCTCTGCCTGTGTCTCCACCTCTCTCTGTGTCTCTCATGAATAAATAAAATCTTTTTTTTTTTTTTTTTTTTTACGATAGTCCAGAGAGAGAGAGAGAGAGAGAGAGGCAGAGACATAGGCATAGGGAGAAGCAGGCTCCATGCACCGGGAGCCCGACGTGGGATTCGATCCCGGGTCTCCAGGATCGCGCCCTGGGCCAAAGGCAGGCGCCAAACCACTGCGCCACCCAGGGATCCCGAATAAATAAAATCTTAAAAAAAAAAAAACCACAAGTGGCCAATGCACACACACAAAAGTGCTCGATATCATCAGTCACTAGGGAAATGCAAATCAAAACCACAATGAGATACCGCTTGGTACATAGTAGAGTGGCTATAACCAAAAAGACAGTAAGTATTGGCGAGAATGTGGAGAAATGGGAAGCCTTATTTATCGCTGGTAGGAATGTAAAATGATGCAGTCACTTTGATAAGATAATCTGGCAGTTCTTCGAAAGGTTAAACAGCGTGACCACGTGACCCAGCAATGCCATCCCTAGGTATGTACCCAAGGGAAATGAAAACACGGCTCTACACGAAAACTTGTTCATGAGTGTTCATAGCAGCATCCTTCACCATAGTCAAAACAGTGGGAAAAGCCCAGATGTCTATCGGCGTGAATGGATGAGCAAAATATGGGGTGTCTGTACGATGGATGCGCTATAATGGATTCAAATACACAATGTTATTTGGCAATAAAAAGAAATGAGGTGTGCTGATTCATGCTACACGGGTGAACCATGAAACCGTGCTGAGCGCGAGAAGCCGCACTGAAGGCCGCATTCTACTGTTGAGCCCACTTCTGTGAATGTCCAGATGGACAAATCCACAGACACAGAAAGTTGCCAGGGGCTGCAGAGGGGGCGTGGGGTACTGCTAAAGAGCGAGAGGTCACTTTTCGGAGTAATGAAATATTCTAGCCTGGGTTGTGCTGATGGTTTCACAACATACTGTAAACCAGTGACCTGTGCACTTTAAGTCGGTCAAATGTGCGGCATGTGAGATGTAATCAGTAAAGCTGTTTACAAAACCCAGAAAACCTGGTTTCCTTAAGCCACACGGGCAATGACACTGAGTAGTTGCAGCCTTGATGGCCTTGGGCGACCCTCCGGTATCACCAGAGAGCATCATCAAAACCAGGCATGTCCTGCCTGTGTTGGAGCCGCTGCCGGTGGCCTCAGACACCACAGAGGAGTCCAGTGCTGGTCGTGGCCCTGCCAGTTTTGTTTGCAAGGATGTGGGACAGCGATGACAGACCCAGCTATAGGCCAGTGTTGGTTGCAGCTATGGTTTGATTTAGGTGGTGGTGTCACAGTGAAGGGACACAAGCAGTATGAAATGTCCTCTCCTACACCCTGGGGTGCTAAGGTGCTCCCTCCCCCAGGTGTCAGACTCCCTGGTTGTTGTTGTTTTTTTTTAAGATTTTATTTATTTATTTATTCATGAGACACACAAAGAGGGAGAGAGAGAGAGGCAGAGACCCAGGCAGAGGGAGAAGCAGGCTCCCTGCGGGGAGCCCCGACGTGGGACTCGATCCTGGGTCTCTAGGATCACAACCCAAGCCGAAGGCAGGCGCTCAACTGCTAAGCCCCCCAGGTGTCCCATCCCTGCAACCCCTTATGATCTTGATCCTACCAGTGCTGACAGATGAAACAGGTAGAGTTGAAATAAAACAAAAGCATTATTTGGGGTCTCAGAATTGCAATTTAGGGAGCAGAGATTTGGGTTGCAACAAAAGTCAAGGTTTTTTTTTTTTTGTTTTTTTTTTTTTTTTAAAGCCCAAAGGGAATGCTTGTATGCAGCGTTTACTAAGAATTTTGACTGGTGTTGGCGATAGGAAACTATTGTCCGCTCACTATAAGTGACCGCGAGGGCTATCACTCTCACTAAGTTCAGGCAGTCCTGGTGTGGCCCAGTTCAAAGTTCATGGTTTTGTCCAGTGAGGGTGTGAATAGGCCAGGCCCGTCTCCTTAATCGCCTCCCGGCTCCATTTGAAAACTCCTTGACATACGTGACTCCATTTCATTTTATCTTTTGCACCAGGAAAAGGCTGGCTGGTGGAGAGAAGATGATGCACCAGGAGGTGAAAGGCAGAACTGGAAATCTTCCAGGCTGTCCCAACTCATGGGATACCAGACAGCGTGCTAACCCTCTAGATGGCCTCGCGATCATTACCATATAATTATAATAACGAAAAACACCCACTGGTGCCCTGACAGATCCAACTGTGCCCAGTTAAGGGAAAAAAGTGGTGGCAGTCTGATTCCAGCAGAACCTCCCCCGCTTCCCTACAAAACCTCCTAGTCAGCTTGCTTACCAGCCTTTTTTTACTCTAACCCCATATAACCCCGACCATGAGACCTAATCCGGAAGAAGGTGCCTCTGGAGCGTGATCTCCCCTTCTCCATTCTCTGGTCATCGAATACGTTGCCGGCTTGCTATGATCCTGTTGGGCTATTTGGCGAGCAGTATTGAGTAGGAAGAGAAATGGCCACTTTGGGTGGCTCAGGCTCTGCCACCAGCTTGATATCAGGGGTCACCAGGGGCCTCACCATGGGCCTACCTGTGAGAGACCCAGAGACCAGTGGCCACTTTACCAAGTTTGGGACCTCAGAGAACCTTTAATCTGTGGGCTGAAGTGTCCCCACTGATAGACCAGACGTCTGGGACATTGACTGCAGCCCAGTGACCCTGCTCAGTTGAGCCCTGGGGATCCAGATGGAGGAGGAAGCCCCCCAAACCAGCAGTGTTGCTTCAAGTGCCACAGTGGGGGAGGGTTGAGTTTCCCCCAAAGAGAGAGCTGTTCCTCTCAGCAAACAGGTGACACTAGGGTCAGGGTGACTGTACCCCAAACAAATCGGACTCATCAGATCGCCCGGGATGTCAGGCTGAGTGACAAGACCAGGGGCCAGGTGGTCAGCTCTGTGAACTGGTCCTGGGCCCAGTGCTGCAGCCTGCTTCTGGTCCCCAGGACCTCCGGTTTCCTCCTGGGCTTTGTGTCACCCCCCTGCCCTCCCCGCTCCCCCCCTGCAGCCTTGCAGCTGTCGGGTGTGCCTTTTGACCCAGGGTGCATCTTCCCAGAGTACTGTCGTCTGTGCAGCTGTGGCGCGCACCGGGGTGTGGGGGTGGTGTACCAGCTGTCAGCGACCCTGTCCAGGAGCAGGGATGGGGTACAGAGGAAGGAGAGCAGGGGCGGCCCAGGGCCGTCCACCCAGCAAGCGGCCGCACAAAAGCTGCTCTCCACCGATGCGGTCCCCAGGGCAGCAGGCCGCTCCTGCAGTCGCTCGTGGGCGCCTTGACCTGCTTGGTTGCCTATGTGACAGAAACTGCTGGGTGACAGGAGGGGTCACCCTGTGGTCTGGGCGCTCTGCTTCCCGCCTATGGCAGCGACTCTCCCGGCAGCATTCTTTTAAAGTGCCTGCGTCCTTCGAACCTACATTTCACTGAGTCACATATGTACATATATTCCTCTGTCCACTTTCTGAATTAATTCCGTGGTGGCTGGGATTTGTCTCTTATTCTGGGATGAGCCCTCAGCACCTCCAATTATCTGAATAGGTCTTCTCATGTTTAAGAAGCCGTTAGATTGGGGCCCCTGGGTGGCTCAGCGGTTGAGTGTCTACCTTTGGCTCAGGGCGTGACCCCGGGGTCCTGGAATCGAGTCCCACATCGGGCTCCCTGCCTGGAGCCTGCTTCTCCCTCTGCCTGTGTCTCTGCCTCTCTCTCTCTGTGTCTCTCATGAATAAATAAATAAATCTTTAAAAAAAAGAGAGAGAGAGAGAGAGAGAAGCGGTTAGAATCCAGGCAGTGGCCCTGGGGCCATTGTGGCAGCGGCCTGGATGCCTGTTTTTGCACAGAGGGATTCCAGAAGGAGAGACAGTTGGAGGTGAGTCTCTGGTACCCAGAATGCTGACCACCCCCCATCCTATCCACTCTTTGGTTTCAAAAATACTGGCAAGTAGACCTGTATGCTGCAGGAAGGACACTGGAAGACTCTTACTGGGGAGCCTGGGCAGCCCAGCAGGAGGACTCAGGGGATCTCGGGGGGGGGGGGGGGGGAGTTGCCCAGTTAACAGCCCCCCCCCCCGAACTCCCCAGTGTCAAGCTCTCATTAGATGAGTCCCGCTTACAAACCTGGTATTTCCAAACACCCCTCTGGCCTGTTCCTCTTCATGAGCAAACAAACAGTACCTGCCAGCACGAAAAGTTCCTGGAAGATGGAAACAGAAGAAACAGGGAAGAGACCATCTGGGGCAAACCCCCCAAGCAGGAGAACACTTCCGCTCGCACATCCTCAGACATTGCTCCCTTGAAGCAGGAACAGAACGTTTCTCTTCTCTGAAAAGAGACGTGGGTGGAGGAAGAGCTCTTGGAAATTCAGCACAGTGGCAGCCCCACAAGCCTCCCGGGGAGAAATCCTCCAGAAGGCAGAGTGAAAGGCCAGGATGGAAACAGGAGACAAGTTGAACACACAAGCTTCAGTCTCAAACCTCGGCCATCTTTTTTTTTTTTAAGATTTTATCTATTTATTCATGAGACACAGGGAGAGAGAGAGAGACGCAGAAGCACAGGCAGAGGGAGAAGCAGGCTCCATGCAGGGAGCCCGATGTGGGACCCAATCCCAGGTCTCCAGGATTACGCCCTAGGCCGAAGGCTGCGCTAAACCACTGAGCCGCCCCCCCCCCCCCCCCCCGCCCAACCTCTGACATCTTAAAACAGGAATTTTAGACAGAGGCAACAGCGAAAGGGGGGACAAGTCATTGGTGGAAAAAAATGATTAGTGAAATAACCTATGAAGGAAGTTCCCAGGTCTGAAGCACAGGAGTTTCCAGACTGAGGGCGCTTTGAGTTCCCAAAATAATGAGAGAACGTCCAGGCCCAAGGACGCAGCACACTGAAATTTCCACAGAGGATCCTAAATATTTGCAGGGAGGAGCAGCCTCCACTGTGGTAAAGGATCATACATTCAAATGCCTGTGAATTTCTTATGGGCACTCCCGGGCCGGAGACGGGCCTGCACAGTCCGAAGGTCTCTAACCTAGAGTTCTTTTAAAATTTTTTTTTTTTTTAAGACTTATTCATTCATGAGTGACAGAGAAAGGCAGAGACACAGGCAGAGGGAGAAGCAGGCTCCAGGCCGGGAGCTCAACACAGAACTTGATCTCGGGTCTCCAGGCGAAGGCAGGCGCTCAACGGCTGAGCCCCCAGGGCGTCCCTAACCTAGAGTTCTATGCTTAGGCAAACTACAAATCAAGTGTGAGGGCAAAACCAAGACATTTTTCCGGTTTCCAATGTCATTAAATAAATGACCTCCCAGCGTGTCTGCCGGGGTTTCACCCAAACAGGGGAGGAACCAAGAAAAGACAAGAGCTGGGGGAGGAGGCCCAGCCCCCCAGGGAACAGGGAGTCCTCTGGGTGATGGAGGGGGGGGCCCAGACAGAAGGACCACCTGCCCAGGCTGCGGCTGACTTAGGGGTGGTCCTGAGGCCTGCAGGCCTCCTGTCCCAGCCACGGAAAGTCCACGGAAGCCTCCCGCTGGGCGAGAGTGGCCGGATCTGGACGTGGCCGGCAAGGAATGACACGCCCTGGGTGGTGTCCCAGGAAAGCGTTTGGCAGAAGCTCTGTAATCCCTGCAAGACAGTAGAGACCAGACCTTCCCGAATCAGGAGGATATGCACTAAACGCTCCCAGACCAGGGGCCAGGCGTGTGCGAGAAAGTTCTCCCCTCACCTCTTCTCTTGAATTTTGTACTTTATGTGGATTACACGTGTGTACACGGAGAAGGGCGTCCCCGCCGAGAGGTGTCCCTCAGCCCCACTTTGGACGGGCCAGGCTCTCCCCGTGCCACCCTGGGCCGCCGCCACCCTCGGAATCCGCCCGAGGCCCCATGAGGCCCCAAGGTGCTGCTCTCCTGGGGCAGGAGCGAGGCCCGCCCTCCACCTTCTGGGCGCCTTTCCACGCCTGCTTCGTGGCCTCCGTCCGCGGGGACAGCTGCCCAGACTGCCCAGCCGCGGGGCTGCGGCTCGGGCCCCTTCCTGCGCGCAGGCCGACGCCGGGACACCCCCGCCAAGCGCGCTCGCCTTCACCCAGTCCTGCAGCCCGCACCCCGGCGCCACTCACGGGGGCCGCAACTCCAGGACAAGAGGTCACGTGGCACGGCCGCCACCGGGCCTGGCCTGGCCCCGCGCTCCTCCGTCCCCCTACTGCCCTGCACCTGCCGCCTCGAGCCCCAGCCCCACCCCTGCGGCCGGTGGTCCCACCAGCCCCGCCCTATCGCCCCGCCCCCTCCCTCCCCTCCCCTGCCCCTGGGCTTCCCTTGCCCCCACCCACCCCTCCCGTCCCCCTAGGCAGCCCTGCCCCCTCCCATCCCCCTCCTGTCCCTCCTGGCCCCGCGCCCCCATCCGGTGGCTGGCCGCTCCGTGCCCCCCCGCCCCTCCCCGCCCCTCCCCTGCCCCTGGCCTTCCTGTGCCGCCACCCGCCCCTCCCGTATCCAGCCGCAACCCACTCCCATCCCCCTCTAGTCCCTCCCCGCGCGCCCAGCCGGCTGCCGGCGGCCCCGTTCCCACCCCGTCCCTCCCCGGCCCCGCCTCCCTTCCCCTCCCCGCCCCCCTCCTTTCCCCTCCCCTCCCCTATCGTCCCACTTCCAGTCCCTCCCCGCGCCCCCATCCGGCTGCCGGCGGCCCCGGGCCCACCCCGTCCCTCCCCCCTTCCCCTCCCCATCGCCCCGCCCCCAGCCCGCCCACCTCCAGTCCCTCCGCGCGCCCCCCTCCGGCTGCCGGCGGCCCGGGGCCCCGTCCCTCCCCGCCCCTCCCCATCGCCCCGCCTCCCGCCCCGCCCCGCTCCCCTCGGGCCTCTCCGCACCTCGCCGCGGCGGGACGCACGGCGTGGACGGGCGCGATGGAGTGGAGCGGAGGCCCCGGGGCGCGGCCGGGCCGCGGGCGGCGGGTGCTGGTGGTGGGCGGCGGCATCGCGGGGCTGGGCGCCGCGCAGAGGCTCCGCGCGCACCCGGCCTTCTCGCAGCTGCGGGTCCTGGAGGCCACGGCCCGCGCCGGCGGCCGCATCCGCTCGGAGCGCAGCTTCGGTAACCGCCTCCCGCAGCCCCTCCCCGAGCCCAGCGCCGGAGCCCCACGGGCGCTGCCCGCCTGCGCCCGGGTTCAGCGACCCCGAGCCCCCCGAGGGCCTGTGCGCCCCACCGCGCGCCTCGGGTCAAGGTCGCGGTCCCCAATCCCCGCCGAGCCGGGCCCCGCGGCCGCCCCCTCGGGCACCCCTGCTGCCCCTGCCCGCTCCGCGGGGGCCCTCCGAGGGCGGGGGCGGGCCAGCGCCCCCTCAAGGGCTAAGGGGCCCCTTGAACGAGGCCTGGGCTGGGGAAGGCGGCCCGGGAGGAGCGCTCGGCGCAGGCCCGGCCGTCTGCTGCCCCGCAGGTGTCGTGCTGGAGCTGGGCGCGCACTGGATCCACGGGCCCTCCCGCGGCAACCCCGTCTTTGAGCTGGCGGCCGAGCACCGGCTGCTGCGGGAGAAGGACTTGTCGCAGGAGAACCAGCGGAGGGAGACGGGGGGGCACGTGGGCCTGCCCTCGGTGACCTACGCCAGCTCCGGGGTCAGCGTGAGCCGCGAGCTGGTGGTGGAGACGGCGAGTCTGTTCCACAGCCTCATAGACCAGGCCCGCGAGTTCGTGCGTGGGGCCGCCGCGCCCGCGCCCAGCGTCGGGGAGTACGTGAGGGGCGCGCTCAGGGCGCTGGCGGCCGGCTGGACGGACCGCGAGGACGCCAGGAGGCTGCGGCTCGCCCTGATGCACAACTTCCTCAACGTGGAGTGCTGCGTGAGCGGAACCCACAGCATGGACCTCGTGGCCCTGGCGCCCTTCGGGGAGTACACCGTGCTGCCCGGGCTGGACTGCACCTTTCCTGGGTAGGTGCTCGCCCCCCATGCACCCGGGCCCCTCCTGTAGCCTGGGACCCCCCCCATGCACCGGGGCCCCTCCTGTAGCCTGGGACCCCCCCCATGCACCCGGGCCCCTCCTGTAGCCTGGGACCCCCATGCACCCAGGCCCCTCCTGTACCCTGGGACCCCCCCATGCACCCGGGCCCCTCCTGTACCCTGGGACCCCCATGCACCCAGGCCCCTCCTGTACCCTGGGACCCCCCCATGCACCCGGGCCCCTCCTGTAGCCTGGGACCCCCCCATGCACCCGGGCCCCTCCTGTAGCCTGGGCCCCCATGCACCCAGGCCCCTCCTGTACCCTGGGACCCCCCCATGCACCCGGCCCCCTCTTGTACCCTGGGTCCCCCCATCCATGCACTCAGGCCCCTCCTGTACCCTGGGACCCCCCCATGCACCCAGGCCCCTCTTGTACCCTGGGCCCCCCCATCCATGCACTCAGGCCCCTCCTGTACCCTGGAACCCCCCCATGCACCTGGGCCCCTCCTGTACCCTGGAACACCCCATGCACCTGGGCCCCTCCTGTATCCTGGGACCCCCCCATGCACTCGGGCCCCTCCTGTACCCTGGGCCCCCCCCCATGCACCCAGGCCCCTCCTGTACCCTGGGCCCCCCCCATCCATGCACTCAGGCCCCTTCTGTATCCTGGGACCCCCCACCCATGCACCCAGGCAGGGCGGTCCCACTGGGCTCCCCAGCATCACCCCAAGGCTCCTTGATCATTTGTGATCAGAAGTAGGATTCCAGGCGGGAGAGGGGGGTCCTTCTCTCACAGCTCCGTTGGCTCGTGCTCCCGTGAGCCTCTTTAGCCAGGGCAGCGGTACTCGAGGCAGCCTGGAGACCCCTGGGGGGCCCGTGCGTTCCTCCACAGCCCCCTCTGACAGCACCGCCCCCCCCCCCCCCCCGCCCCGGTCTCTCCTAGGGGTTATCAGGGCCTCACAAACCACATAACGGCTTCCTTGCCAGAGGATATGATCATTTTTAACAAGCCTGTGAAGACCATTCACTGGAACGGGTCCTTCCAGGAGGCCGAGTCTCCTGGGGAGACGTTTCCGGTGTTGGTGGAGTGTGAGGACGGAGGCTGCTTCCCTGCGCATCATGTCATCGTCACCGTGCCCTTAGGTAAAGCGCGTCCTCCCCGCGGGTTTCCCCAAGGCCACCCGCCCCCCGGGGGCCCCGGCCTCCGGCTCTGCCCCTGCCCAGCAGGCTCCGCAGTGTTGGGGCCTGGCTCCCATTTTCATCTAGTGTCACACGGATTGCTCTGCTGCGATTTGTAGCGGTTGCTGCTTGGGAGTTGAGTTTTCCAGTAAGAGAACGTGCGTGTCTTGCTCCTCCCGAGGTCATTTCTGGAAAGGCTGGGACTGCCTGCAGGCGCTCACCAAGCCGTGCTTTCTGGGAGACCGAGCAGGCTGTGAGAGCCGGGTCTCAGGTTCAGCCCTGCCGTAGCTGAGGAAGGGGCACGCGTGTGCTTCTGTTTAATCCGAGATCTGATGCTGGAGACAGAGGCTTTTTGACGATTCGACAAAAGGTGGACGGGATTGAAGGCCAGGCCGTGCTGTGCCATCTCATTTACCCTCAGGCAGCTGGGGACGGGTATGTCCCACCCTGTTTGACAGACGCAAACGGAAATAAGTCAATCGTGCAAGGTCACAAAGCCAGCAGGGGCCAGAGCCGATGTGAGGTGCAGAGCGAGGGTCTGCCCACCCCTGGTGGCTGCAGCCTGGGTTCTGGGGTCCCCTCAGGACGCGCTGGCTGGGGGCGAGCTTGCTCAGCACCCACGTCCTTTCTCCCACACGCGGAATCCCACCGGACGTGTTAACACAGTCCTCTGCTGCTCTGTTTGCCGCTCCCTCTTTTTTTTAGTGAATAAGACTTTTGTCAGTCCTTCCAGACGAGCACATAGAAATCTATCGGTCTTTTTTTTTTTTTTTGGCACCCATGTCGGTGTCATTCGCAGCTGGAGTGCGTGCTTGCTGAGGCCCTGCTGTGATCCGCAGGTGCATTGCCGCCTGTTGGTTTTGTTCACAAGGAGCCAGGACACCTGTCACATTTATTCCTTTTAGGCACTCAGCGTTTTCTTCCATGTAGGAGTCATTGCTTAATATTACTTAAAGTTGATGGAAATTGAGGTTTTCACTTTTTCCTGTTTTATGTAGCATTTCCATGTGTATTTATTTTTTTTAAGATTTTATTTATTCACGAGACACACACACAGACACACAGAGGCAGAGACTCAGGCAGAGGGAGAAATAGGTGCCACGCGGGGAGCCCGACGTGGGACTCGATCCCGGGTCTCCAGGATCACGCCCTGGGCTGCAGGCGGCACTAAGCCGCTGGGCCACCCGGGCTGCCCTCCATGTGCATTTAAATGCACTCGCGTGAATATATCTGAGGCACAAATTGCAGTAGCGGGAGCTGCCCGGTTGAGGGTCCTGACGGGCCTGTGGAGGGCACGGAGACCCCTCCGTGGGTCTCTACGGCCTCTGTGGGTCTGTTCCCTGTTGGGCTGTTTGTCCTTTACTCACTGACTTGCACACTATCTGTGTCCTAAGGACACTGGCTTGTGCCTTAAACATTCCGTCTCCTGGCTTCACTCTGGCCCAGAACTGTTTCTGCCACGCAGATCATTTTTCACGTAGCTTCTGGAAAAAGCCCGTAGGTTGTGATGCTGCTCCCAACTAATCCAGAGCAGCACCGTTTGCAGACATTGAGAGGCAGATGGGTTTAGAAGTGAGAAATTGTCCTACAGGCTCATTGGGGGTGGGGTTGGGGGGCCGTGCCGACGGTCCCTGGCTGACCTGGTGGCCACGGGGCCTTCCGTGTCCCTCCACGGTGTGTTGCTCCCGAGGCTGAGTCCCGAGGGCCGGGGCCAGCCCAATTCCTGGGAGCCCAGACGAGCTGGGGCTGGCGTGGGTCTCTGCGGACGTGGTCTCGGGCAGCCTCCCTGCCTGACCCCTCTGACGGGCCTCCGGGCGGGTTCCTGTGGCTGGCGATTCCACTTGAGAGATTTGTGGGGTGTAAGGTGAGTGCACCTGTGAATTCCAGGTTTTCTTAAGGAACACGTGGACACCTTCTTTGAGCCACCACTGCCCACCGAGAAGGCCGACGCGATCAGGAAACTGGGCTTTGGGACGAACAATAAAATCTTCCTGGAGTTCGAGGAGCCCTTCTGGGAGCCAGGCTGCCAGCACATCCAGGTGGTGTGGGAGGACATGTCGCCCCTGGAGGACGTCGCCTCTCAGCTGCAGGATGTCTGGTTCAAGAAGCTCATTGGCTTTTGGGTCCTGCCTTCCTTTGAGTATGTACGATCCTTGGGTTTGTCTGCGAAGGCTTCAGCTGTGGGCCCCGGGGGGCTGGCTCGTGGGCGGGGGCTCGGCTGAGGGTCCAGCAGCGCGTCGATCCCCAGGAGATGTTTGTGGAGGATTTCCGGGTGGGACGTGGAGGGCCCCGGAGCGCCGAGAGGGCCCGGGGCCGCAGCCGCCGTGGGGCACCAGGAGCCTCCCGCGGGCAGCCGGTCGGGGCCTCGGCCTGGAGTGTGCCTGCGGCACGGAGGGAGCCCCCCAGCCGCCCCCAAATAACTGTATCTCTAAAACAAACTTTAGTGAGGAGAGTGGCGATGCTGCGCTTTTCTCTTGCTGTCTTTACGGCCTGGCTCAATAGCAGAGGCTCCGTTGTCCCGCTGCTGGCATGCGGTGGTGCCGAGCTTCCTTCCACGTGAAGTCGACGACAGTCTCCGCTCAGACACGTGGTTGGGAAGGGGAGCCGGGTCAAGAGCCCCAGACGACTGTGGGTATGGGCACCACAGCTCAGGCGGGGACGGGGGGGCTCCCTGGGCGCCGTGCGGGGTCTGAACCCTCGGCCGGGCGCGCGCGGGACGCTAGGACCCACCGCCTGCCCTGCGCCGCGCGGGGATCTCAGCCGAGCGCCCCGTCTTCCGAATGTTGCGACTTTTCACTGTACGATATCAAACGATGGGATTTATCGACGTCACCGTGGGTCTCAGAAACGTCTCTTGGTGTTGGAACCTATCGAGCGGCTGGCGGCAGATAGAAGTTTTCTAAAATGTGATGTTCGAGTGAGCGCTTCAGTTTCATCCTTGGCAGGAAACACTTGCAGTTGTTTTCCTCGTGACAGACACGCTGCTCGGTGTCAAGAAAACGTCAGCCAGACACCGAGCTGGAACACTAACCACGTTCTTTCCGGTAAAGACGGAGCAGAGACTCAGCAGGCGGCTCAGCCCTCGGCGCAGGGCCGTCCCGACGGCTGCTGCCCCGCGTCAGGTGCTGCCCAAGGGCCGCCCACCCGCATCTCGTTTGGTCACCCGGGGTATTAGAGCCGTGCGCTCGAGAGGTTTGATATGGTTCATCACTTCTGCTGCTTCGTGGAGGACGTTCTCAGGTGCATCTGGCGTTGTTTCCACCGTGTGTGCGGTGGGAAGAGCTCCGGGCCTGCTAGTCCGGGTTGCACGGTGGCCCCGCGTCTGCGAAGGGTGGGCCCGTTCACGCGCCGTGGCCCTTGCACATCAGCGTGTGTGTGTGTGTGTGTGGATGGAGTAGAAGCAGCAAGCAGCAGCTCGGTGCTGGAACCCCGGGGACCTGCAGCCACACTTGCAGAGCTGCCCCGGGCGCTGTGGGTGCCCAGTCCAGGGCCCGGCCACAGGCCGTCTCAGGGCTGTCTCCCCACACAGGTCTGTCCACGTCCTCTGCGGGTTCATCGCCGGGCTGGAGTCTGAGTTCATGGAGACTCTGACCGATGAGGAGGTGCTTCTGTCTCTGACCCAAGTCCTCCGCAGGGTGACAGGTACTGAGCACGGGTGGCTGGGCCACCGCCAGGGCCCTCGCGGGCTGATCTCTGGACGACGGGCACCCAGCTTCGAGAGCTGCCTGGAGCTGAGCTTGGTGCTCTGGCCCTCCAGGGACAGGCCTTCCTGAGCTTAGCGGGTCCCTCGGAGGTCTCCTCTCTAAGGGACTGAAACAGCTTTGTGGACACTTTCCACTTCTTTTTTCTGTTGCTGGGAGTCCTGAGCTAGGCGCAGCCGTCAGACACGCAGAGCCTCTGGTCATACGCTCGGGGCTGGGTCTTCTTCCCGGGTGGTTTCCCTCGTTTTAAGCTGCTGAGTCCTGAAGGGAAGCGGCCCTGGGGCCAGGCGAGCAGCAGTGCGGCGCTGACACGCGTCTCTGGGCGCAGGAAACTCCAGGCTCCCCGCGCCCAGGAGCGTGCTGCGCTCCCGCTGGCACAGCGCCCCGTACACCAGGGGCTCCTACAGCTACGTGGCAGTGGGCAGCACCGGGGAGGACATCGACCGGCTGGCGCGGCCCCTGCCCGAGGACGGCGCGGAGGCGCAGGTGAGGCGGGCGAGAGGGGGCCGGGACCCCTGGGGCTGGGTCCCTGTGCTGTTCAAAATTAGGAATCTTTTTTTTTTTTAATATTTTATTTATTTATTCATGAGAGACACAGAGAGAGGCAGAGACACAGGCAGAGGGGAAGCAGCCTCCATGCAGGGAGCCCAATGCAGGACTCGATCCCACGACCCCGGGATCACGACCTGAGTGGAAGGCGTTGCTAAACTGCTGAGCCCCCCCAGGCTGCCCTGAAATTGGGAATCTTGAAACATATTATTTTATCAGGGTTTTACGTGCATGTAGCCTAAGCATGGGAGGATGCTGGTAACCAAGTAACCAAACCCAGCAAGCTGGGGTGCCCAGCATCCCCCGCCCAGACTGTTCCTGTATCTCCGGCATCTCAACATGCTCTTGCTGCCACTTTTCACAAAACACTCAGCTGTGGAAAGCTTGCACGTGTGCTCCAGGGCCGCCCGGTGCTGGCCGTGGCCCGCAGCCCACCTGATAAGGGTCCCCGCAGATAAGGGACGCCCACTGACATGTGTGACTACAGCGAAGTCATCACCGTTTCTTTACGTGTGCTCGTTCGATAACGTTGCTCCTTGGATTGTCGGTTTTCGGCATCACAGGGTGACTGCCTGCAGCAGAGAAGGCGTTAGCCGCTTGTAGCCCCCCCCAGCACTTAGCGCTGTGCCCCCGTGTGCCCTGCCCCAGGCCCTGTGCACTCCTGTCCTGCGAGGACGCTGTGCTTCCTCCTCCTGCCTGTTTGCAGGTGTGAGTGTGCATCCATGTGAGAGCTTACAGGTCCGTGAGCGGGCTGTGGAGGTGGATCCTGTGCAAGTGAGCCTGAGTGTGAGTGCATGAGTGAGAGTGCACGGGGCTCGGTTGCAGCCTCGTTTGCCTGGACTCTTCAGTGTCGGCTTCAGCCTAGCCTGTCCGACGCCCCGGACCCCCCTTTCCCCGTGCACTTACTTCATTGGAGCACTTATTCCGGAAGCTCCCTGAAGAGGGGGTACTCGGGGGGGGTAGATTTTTAGAGAAAATGTGCATGTGTGAACACGTTCTTTGTCTCCCCTTCTACTCCAGGTGTCCGGGCCTGTCTATGTAACAAGCCCCTAAAGGCCCGTGGTGGAAGCCATCACTTTATAAGGCTGACAGATCCCATAGGCAGCTGGGGGGGGACCCTGTGTCTTCACCCGTGTTGTCTGGGATCTCAGCCGGGGTCACTCAGGGTTGGGCTGGGGGTCCTCTGGGTCTGCTTCTCCTGCACAGTGGCCCTGGGCTGGGACCCTGACTTCAGTGCGGCCCGTGGCCTCTGCAGGCCTCAGGCTTCCTCAGGGCTCCTGTGCTGCCCACGTGGCAGCCCACGGCCTGGCACAGATGTTCCAGTGGAGCAGGACGCAGCTCGCTTCCCGGGGCCACACTCCCCTGGCCTAGTGGTCATGGCTGCCCAGATTCAAGGGGGCAGGACACAGACCCTGCCTTTCTACAGGAGGCGTCTCCCCAAGAGCTTGTAGCCCGAGAGCCGCACACGGGGTGTAAATCCCAGCTTGAGAGGCACTTCCCTCCGCGTGGAAGATGTTAGGGACCCAGTGGAAGATGTTAGGGACCCACCGTCCCGAGTGCTCCTGGGGCTCCGGGCTCAGGGCACCAAGCCCCTGAGCCCCTTGCCTCCTGCCGTACCCTGCGCTTCTGTCCTGGGAGTGAGTGCGCGGCCAGCTGGGAGCGCCTCTGCAGTTCCCTTTTCTCCTTCTCCTCCCGCCCTCCTCTTCCTCCCGCTTTTCTGGGATTTTTGTTGTTTGGGTGGTGGACTGGTCCTCAAATTTTCTTACTTCCTTTCCTCCTAATTCCCGCGTCTTTGTTTTTTTTTCCCTCCGTTTTTTTGGGTGAAGTTCTCAACGTTGCACCCCGTTTTGCAGTCACATTTGATTGCAGGAGTGCCTGCTGTCCCTGTGCCCGCTTCTGATTCCTGAGCATCTCAGGGCTCCGTGGGACTAGTGAGCAATGAAGCCACACACTTGCCATCAAGTCTGTAGCCAGTGAGAGGCTTGCGGCTGCGGCCTGATTCCTGGCACCCTGTGCTAACCCCGGCTTCTCCTTGCAGCTCCAGATACTGTTTGCAGGGGAAGCCACGCATCGGACGTTTTACTCCACCACACACGGGGCTCTGCTGTCTGGCTGGAGGGAGGCCGACCGGCTCATCGCTCTGCAGGATCCCCAGGCCCAGCTGCCCGGGCCCCAGCTCTGAGCCCTGCTCCGCCCCTCCTGTGCCAGGGGGAGGCTGACACCATCCATTCCTCTGACAGCATCTGGCCGGGCTTGAGATTCGGGGATGTCAATGACAGCCTGCCTTTTGTGGTGACTGGGGGCAGCTCTCATTTCTCACATCTATCACTGAGTCTGGCCAGGGCCGAGCTTGAGCCGAGTGCAAGGTCTTCTTGGAGAAATGAGACCCAGGATGCCACTGCTGCTGCTGAGGGCATGCATATAAAGTGTGTTAAAGCCTCCGTGTCTCCTCGTCCTTAAACCTCAGGCCTGAGTCACCGCAGGGCCGGTGTCCCCTCCCCTGGGCTGTGGGTGCTGTGGGTGCTGTGGTTGCCCCTCGTCCTGGGCATCTTCAGGCGCTCCTGAGCTCTCACTGGTGGTGCTCAGGCCTGGCTGACTGTGTGGGCTGGGTGAGAGCCAGAGAGTGCAGAGACATGAGCACACAGGGGCACTCTGTCCTGACCTGGGGCAAGAGGTTTTCTAGAGGATGCGAATAAAAAATGAGGCCTCCAGAGTGCAGAGGGGGTGGGATAGCTCTGTGTCAGGGTGAGCGGGCAGTGTTGGGTGTGTTGGATGCCATGGGTGCTGACCAGTGTGTTGGGTGCCCTGCTCAGCTGACCCCATCTTCCCTTGCTGCATCCTCAAAGTGTCCCAGCGAATGGACCAAAGTGCCGCTGTTTCCCAGTTGAAGAAAGGACAAAATGCCTAGAGGTCAATGTAGGTCAAGGTCAATAACTGCCCAGTCTCTGGAGGAAGGTCCAGGAGCAGCAGAGGCTGGGACCCTGTGCTGCAGGGGGTGGGGCTGTCAGCGTCTCCTGCCCCTCCTCAGACCTCTGGCTCCAGCCTGTGACCTGCTCCAGGGGACTGGCGGGGGCGCTGGCTCCAGGGTGAGTGTACATGTGTGGGGAAGGGGGGTCTTGGGGCCAGCCCGTATGGGCTCTTCTGCAGTCCCAGATGGTGCTGGACATGCCCTGGGCCCCAGCACGCTCCCTGTGGGCCCTTCTCTTCCTCCCTTCCAAGGGGGCAGATGGCCCCTGCCCCAGCGTTCTGGACGTGTGTCCACTGCTTTGTGTCACTCGAGTGGTTTTGCGTGGACACCTGTGTTTGTGGTCCCAGGGCTGTGAGAGATTGCCGCTTCCCTCAGGGGCAGTCATCTGTCCTGCTGGCATCGAGCCTAGAGCCGAATCTGGGTGATAAAGGTGAGCAGGGTGGCCGCTGCCTCTCAGTGGTGGTGGGGGGACTGCGTTGTCCTCCCCCCGGAGCACTCACCTCCTGGTCCCTGCGATGTTCAGTGCTGACAACTGGCAGGTGTCAGACCATCACAGCAGAGTTGTTTCTGTGTTGAGAACCAGGAGTGGTTGGAACTCGAGGAGCTCGTTTCCCAAATTCCAGGACGTGATCCTGCCCTGTGTTCAAGCTGAAACCTGACCTCGTTTATGTCTGTGCAGGGGGCTCAGGAGGGAGCAGTCTAGGGAGCAGGACTGCTGTCAGTATTAAGACCTAGAGCACTTGAGGGCAAGCCCCGGTGGCACAGCAGTTTAGCGCCTCCTGCAGCCCAGGGTTTGATCCTGGGGACCCTGGATCAAGTCCTACGACTGCATGGAGCCTGCTTCTCCCTCTGCCTGTGCCTCTGCCCCCCCTCCTGTGTCTCTATGAATAAATAAATAAGGGAACCCTGGGTGGTGCAGCGGTTTAGCGCCTGCCTTTGGCCCAGGGCGCGATCCTGGAGACCAGGATCGAATCCCACATCGGGCTCCTGGTGCCTGGAGCCCGGTTCTCCCTCTGCCTATGTCTCTGCCTCTCTCTCTCTCATTCTGTGTGACTATCATAAATAAATAAAAAATAAAAAAATAAATAAAATCTAAAAAAAAGAAAAGACCTAGAGCACTTGAAAAAGGGGGGGGATATTAGATAATGTAGGCTACATGTAAAATATTTGAAAATTATAACCAAGTTTGTAAAAAGGGGTCAGTGGCAGGGGACAACTGAGGCATGCTACACTTAGAATACACCTAGGGACGAACTGGAAGATTTTATTTATTTATTAAAGATTTTATTCCTTCATGAGAATACACAGAGAGGAGAGAGAGAGAGGCAGAAGCAGGCTCCATGCAGGGAGCCGGACGTGGGACTGGATGTGGGACTCGACCCTGGGTCTCCCTGGCTGAAGGGGGCGCTAAACCGCTGAGCCACCCGGGCTGCCCGATTTTATTTATTCATGAGAGACCCAGAGAGAAAGGCAGAGGGAGAAGCAGTGTCCCTGCAGGGAGCCGGATGCGGGACTCCATCCCGGGACCCCGGGGTCACACCCTGGGCCGAAGGCAGATGCTCAACCACTGAGCCACCCGGGCATCCCGAATTAGAAGATATTTATTTATTTATTTATTTATTTAATTTATGTTTTTAAAGATTTTATTTATTTATTCATGAGAGACGAGAGAGAGAGAGAGAGAGAGAGGCAGAGACACAGGCAGAGGGGGAAGCAGGCTCCATGCAGGGAGCCCGACGTGGGACTCGATCCTCGGTCCCCAGGATCATGCCCTGGGCGGAAGGCAGGCGCCAAACCGCTGCGCCACCCAGGGATCCCCCCCGGATTAGAAGATTTTAAATGGGGGCAGCCGGGTTGCTCAGCGGTTTGGCGCCACCTTCAGCCCGGGCGTGACCCTGGACACCTGGATCGAGTCCCAGGTCGGGCTCCCTGCATGGAGCCTGCTTCCCCCTCTGCCTGGGTCTCTGCCTCTCTCTCTCTCTCTGTGTCTCTCATGAGGAAATAAAATCTTAAAAAAAAAAACAAAGAATTTAAATGTAAAGAGCGTTAATGTATCTGTGAATTCCTTAAAACGCGTAAACCGAGACTCGGCAGCGCAGGCCGCAGGTCGGCCGGTAGCCCCGCCCCCTCCAGGCCCCGCCCCCTCCAGGCCCCGCCCCTCCAGCCCGCCCGCGCGTCCCCGAAGGCGGCGTAGTGCGCACGCGCGAGCCGCGCGGCGGTGTCTGGAGGCCCCGGAACCGCGGGGTCGGGTCGGGTCGGGCCGGGCCGGGGCCGCGGGGAGTCCGTCCGGAAGCGGTTCCGCCGCGCGCTCGGCACACGGCGCCATGAGGCTGGCCTCTCGCGCGCTCTGCGGCGTGGCCGGGGCCGCCTGGCGGGAGAGCTTCCCCCTGGGCGGGCGCGACGTGGCGCGCTGGTTCCCGGGACACATGGCCAAGGGTGAGGCGCGGGGGGCGCCGGGCCGGGTCCGCCCGCCCCGCCCCGCCCCCGGCCCGCTGCCCCCCGCCCGGCGCCCCCGCTGCCGCCCCCCGCCCCGGCCGCTGCTCCCCCCTCCGGCCGTCCCAGGCCCGCCCCCGCCCGGCCCCCCCTCCGCGCGCTGCCCCCCGCCCCCGGCCCCCCCACCCCGCCGCGCTGCCCTTCCCCGCTGTCCCTCCCCCTCTCCCAGCCCGGTACCCCCCGCAGCCCAGTCCCCCTCCCCGCCCCCGGCCTGGTTCTGCCGCCCCCAGCTGCGCCCCCAGCTGCGCCCCCGCCCCCCCGACTGTCCCAGGCCCCTCCCCCAGCCCTCTGCTCCCGGCTGCACCCCCTGCGCCGCCCAGCTGTCCCCCCCGCCCCCAGCCCGGTACCCCCCAGCCCGGCCCCCTCCCCCCGCTCCCGGCCTGTCCCCCCCCCCCCCCTCCCCGCTGCCCCCGCCTCTCCTTGTCCTTGTCTGCTTGTCTGCACCCGGGGCGACCCCGAGTCCCAGCAAGTCCCTGTGCCGCTTCCCTCCCCCCTGCGCGGCGCGCCCGGCGTGGCGGGTGGGGGTGCCCCGTGGGTCGGGCTCGCGGAGGCCCTCGCAGGCCCCGGCTGCCCGCACGCGGGGCTCACGCGCCCCCTGTCGCCCAGGGCTGAAGAAGATGCAGGGCAGCCTGAGGCTGGTGGACTGCGTCATCGAGGTGCACGACGCCCGGATATCCTTCCGTGACTCGGGCGGAGGGGGCCGCGGGGGCCCGGGTCGGCCTCGTCCCTGGTTGGCAAACCCAGGGCACTTCTTGGGTGGTGAGAGTGTGGGCGGAGGGTGCGCGGCGGGGAGGCGACTTTGGGGAGGCCCTAAGTCACCCAAGTTTGAGGGCCGCTTGCCAGGTGCGACCACCTGCCTGGGGAGTGGGCTGCCCGAGCTGGAACCGGTTGCCAGTGGCCGGGGATTTATTAGTCAGGCCTATATGATGGAGCCTCAATAAAAAGCTAAAAAGACAGGGTTTGGAGAGCTTCTGGGTTGGCAAAATGTGGGTATGGAGGGAGAGTGGCACTTTTTTTAGTTTTAGATGATTTCGATTGATTGGAGTTGGGAGGGACGGAGGAGTGAGGATCTCAGGCCCACCAACCGTGCCGTGGATGCAGGGCTCCACCTCCTGACCCTGACGTCGCCACCTGAACTGAAATCCAGACTTGGATGCTTGGGACGCCTGGGGGGCTCAGGGGTGCAGTGTCTGCCTTCGCCTCAGGCCGTGACCCCCCGGGGTCCTGGGCTCGAGTCCTGCCTGGGACTCCTGCAGGGAGTGCTTCTCCTCTGCCTGTGTCTCTGCCTCCCTCTGTGTGTCTCTCATGAATAAATCAATAAAATCTTTTTTTAAAAGATGCTGGGCTCCCTCGGCCCCAGCGCCATTGGGATTGGGTGCAGGGTTAGAGTCGTCCGGGGCCTTCTCCCTGACTGGGCTCAGGACGGCCAGAGGCATCCCTGACCGCAGCCTGGTCTCCATCCTCCTGGGTCTGCTGTCCGCTCTGGTCTCGTCCGCTACCCCGGGGGCCGAGACCCCTCTCGGTTACTGGCATTACAAGCAGTGGTTCTCAGCCCGCATCACACGAGAGTTTCTCTGGAGGTTTAAAAAACCCTCTGGCCTGGGCCCCTTTCCAGACCAGTTCACTGGAGTGTGCGGTATGGGGTCCAGGCCCTGTGTTCTCTGAAGCTCCCCGCTGCTACCAGGTGGCATCTTTGTCTCCAGCCCCTGCCTGGCGGCCCTGGCCGTCCAGTCCAGTCCAGTCCAGTCCAGCAGCGGGTCCTCTAGGTGGGGTCTGCAGCCGCCCTGGACGTGCCGGCCCGCAGCCCGCCGGCCTTCCTCCGGCCTGAGGCCTGAATGGCGAGACCTGCTGCTCTTGTTCCTCGATGAGTTTCCTTCTCGGACTTGGTTTTCACCGTGCTTGAGCCATGAATTCGGATTCTCTGTGATGACGGCGTTGGGCTGACAGTTGTTACTAGCTCAAGGGTCGCGGAGGAGGGGCCGGGTTCACGGCTTCAAGGCTCTGGAACTTTTGGACTAATGTACCGAGTTTACTTACCGTAGGCTCCGTACGTCAGTTTGCGGGCTAGCCCTGCTGGTCAGGGTGTTTGCTGGCGCTCGTGTGTTGGATGATCAGAAACGATAAACCCGTGGTCAGCGCACAGTGAGCGGACATCTGTCCTTTGGTTTCTAGACCGCTGCGCTTCTCTCCAGGCTTGGGGAGCCCTAGGCTGGGCAGGGGCCCTGGGACGAGGTCTGAGGCTTTGCTCTTCTGAGCTACACAGGATTGGTTAACCCTTGAGGGACGGTGAGATTTGTGGAAAGTCCTTTCGTGTGGGTGAGGGCACGGCCTGTAACTGGCGTCTGGACCTGGGGTGTGCCGGAGGCCTCGGGAGCTGCACACCAGGCCTCCACGAGGTGCAGCACCAGCGGGGGCCGACTGTTCAGGAGACTAAAGCAAGGGCCTCTCCTGCCTGTGTTAGGGTCCCATCCAGTGGGACCTGTCCTGACCCCAAAGGTCCCTGGCTGAGGGCAGAGGGGCCTCACCGTGCTGAAGGAGGCAGAGCCTCCGGGAGGCTTGCGTGGGGGACCGGCCACTCCTAGGCGTGACCAGCGGGTAGCAGTAGTTTGAGATACACTAGTCAGGGCTTTACCGGATGCGCTTTTTTTTTTTTTTTTTAAGATTTTATTTATTCATGAGAGACACAGAGAGAGAGGCAGAGACACAGGCAGAGGGAGAAGTGGGCTCCATGCAGGGACTCGATCCTGGGTCTCCAGGGTCATGCCCGGGGCTGAAGGCGGCACTAAACCGCTGAGCCACCCAGGGATCCAGACCCGCTTTTTTGGAGTGATATCATTTATTTTGAACTTGATGTGCCTTGGCAAGTAAACAAAGAGCAGCTAGAAAACCTTCCACCGAGCTTTGTGTTTTGTTTCTGCACCGTCCTTCCTGTTTGAGAAGGCACATGGAGCCCTGCCCTGCGTGTCTGCGGGGGTCCGTGGCGGTGACGGGGTCCTGTCCCCCGCCGGGAGGGCCGAGCCAGGGCTGCTGTCCTAGCGCCTGGAGAGAGGCTGGCTGGGGGCACGCCCCTGCGTGGAGACCGGGCTTCCTTCGGCTCGGTCCCTCCCGAGGCCGTGGGCAGTCTGCGTAACGAGACAGACGAAGTTCGTGGGCTGGTGAAGGGCTGAAGGAGTTTTGCCTTAACTCTGCCACATCCCACTTTCAGGCCGCAACCCCCTGTTTCAGGAAGCTCTCGGGCTTAAGCCTCACGTGCTGGTCCTCAACAAAATGGACTTGGCGGATCTGAAGGAGCAGCAGGTGAGGGTCCCCGTCCCCGATGCTGGCAGCACTCGGGCTGCTGCGCCCGGACTGCAAGCCGTCTCGCTGGTGACCCACCTGGGCAGGCTTGCTTTGGCAAACAGCCCGTTGTTTGCGGAGGTATTCTCACATGGCCCCTCAGGATGACAGGCTTGCCTCCAATGTTTAATTTATGGTCCCAGTGACCAAATGGGCATCTCCCATGGGAAGTGGCCAGGCTGTAAGGCGGAGCCCAGTGCCCCACAGCGTGGACTCTGTCCCCGTGTGGCCGTGAGCACTTGGGATGTGGAATGATGCAGGAATGATGCTTATATCATATTGCAGTTTAATGATTTGCATTTCAGAAGTTCTGTGGGGCTGGCGGCCACGTGTGCCCCAGGTGCCCTCACTGCACATCCAGTGATTGGGACGCTAGAAGGGTGGGGAGGCCCGAAGTAACTCCACAGCTCAGGGCCTTGCCAGGTGTCACAGAGGTACAAGAAACCTGAAGGTCTGGACCCGCTGTTTTCGAGCGCGCAGCTCTGCTCTTCCTGCTGTGGGGGTCAAAGCCTTCCCAGAGGGCAGGTCCCAGACCTCGCGGATTCCAGCCAGGCTGTGTTCAGGCTGTTGGTGCAGTTTTATTTTTGTTCCAAGAATGCAATTTGGGCTTCCTTTTCTTTTTAAAAAGCTTTATTTTATTCATTTTAGAGAGAGTGTGCTAGAGAGAACGCAGGGGAGAGGGGGGAGGGGGAGAGGCAGACTCCCTGCTGACCATGTGGAGAGAGACAGACAGACACACGCACACGCACACACGACACATGGATGCTGAACCGACTGAGCCACCAGCGCCCACAGCTCAGATTTCTTAGTTGATTAGGTCTGAGCTACTTAAACCCCAGCCACGGGCAGCCCCGGTGGCACAGCGGTTTGGTGCCGCCTGCAGCCCAGGGCGTGATCCTGGAGACCCTGGATTGAGTCCCACGTCGGGCTCCCTGCATGGAGCCTGCTTCTGTCTCTGCCTCTCTCTCTCTCTCTCTGTGTCTCTATGAATAAATAAATAAAATCTTAAAAAAATAAAATAAACCCCAGCCACAAGCCTCTGTCTCAAGGTTTCCTGGGAAACATCAAATCCTGAAGCCACAGGAGTCCTTTGTTCATTGAGAATCCACAGGCCGGCACCTGGGGTCATTTAAAGCCATCCTGCTGTGCAGATTTGTCCCAAGCTTGGCTTTTATTGGCTGAGACTTGAGTCATAATCAGTGATTGCTTCTGCCCTTAAATGCTAATTTTCATAGAATGCTGGGTACTGAGGTGACCTACCCTGGGGACCTAGCTCTGTCTCCCCACGTTGGGAGGTGCTCTCAGGTGCTGCTGGGGCAGAGGTCCCGCAGAGGAGAGGCAAGGCCCCCAGCAGCGACCCCATGTCTGCCTCTGGGTGCCGGCTCGGGACGTCCATCGTGGATTGATGCACTTCAGAGTGAGGCTCCAAATACGTCTTTGTTGTGGCCTGTACCTTGATCTGCATCATCTAACGAATGATTAAAATATATAAGCAGACATGGGTCATCTTTTTAGGTCGGTAGCTGATCAAACAATATCATACTGGTTTTATTTTTATTTATTTATTTATAGATTTTATTTATTTACTCATTTGAGACACAGAGAATGGTGGAGACACTGGCACAGGGAGAAGCAGTCTCCATGCAGGGAGCCCGATGCAGGACTCGATCCCGGGACTCCGGAATCATGCCCTGGGCCGAAGGCAGACACTCAACCGCTGAGCCACCCAGGTGTCCCCATACTGGTTTTAAAAAGTAGGGTTCCTGCACTGCATTTGCTTCATGTTAAGACCAGTGAATTCGGGGATCCCTGGGTGGCGCAGCAGTTTGGCGCCTGCCTTTGGCCCAGGGCGCGATCCTGGAGACCCGGGATCGAATCCCACATCGGGCTCCCGGTTCATGGAGCCTGCTTCTCCCTCTGCCTGTGTCTCTGCCTCTCTCTCTTTCTCTCTCTGTGACTATCATAAATAAAAAAAAAAAAAAAAGACCAGTGAATTCAGGGACGCGTGGGTGGCTCAGTGGTTGAGCGTTTGCCTTCAGCCCAGGGCGTGATCCTGGGGTCCTGGGATCGAGTCCCGCATTGGGCTCCACGCAGGGAGCCTGCTTCTCCCTCTGCCTGTCTCTGTCTTTCATGAATAAATAAAATCTTAAAAAAAAAAGAGTGAATTCATACTTGCCTTAGTTTACATTTGGGCTTTCAAAACACTACATATACTTTGTGACTGGATTAGGTTCAAGCCTCAGCGTGCAGGGGAGCTAGGGTGTAACAAGATCAGCAATGGAGACCAGAGCTGTAGCACTTCACATTGGAGGGGGCTCCTAGTACATGGGGGGGCCTGAGCCCTGAGAGGCCCTCATCCCCCCTGGAGCCTGGAGTGCATGGGGCTGGGCCAGGGCACTTCCCTCCTGCCCTCACGGGGGAGCCAGCCACTCCTGTGCTCTCTGCTGCCCGCCCACCCGCCTACTCCCTGCCTGCACGCCCCCCCCCCCCCCCGCCCCCCCACAGCCTGACTCTTCTCCATCCTGCTGCAGTGGCCCTGAGCGGCCTGGCCCTGTGGGGGTGGGGACCTCCCTCTCAGATCCTTGATTTTAGCATATCACACCACCCGTATTTGCATTTGGTATTTAAAATGGAAATCTCTCTTTCAGAAAATTATACAACACCTAGAAGAAGAGGGCCTGAAAAATGTTGTTTTCACCAACTGTGTAAGGGATGAGAATATCCAGCAGGTAGGTGCCCCTCCGTTTCACACTCTAATGCTTTTGCTTAAATACAGGTCAGAAATCCCAGAGATTATCTCATGCTCTCACAAGAAGCAGAATTTTGGAGAGGATCCGTGGGTTCCCTGGGGGTCCTGGGGCGCCGGGCCAGTGTGCACTCAGGGGCCCGAGCTTCCACGAGCTGCTGGACGCTCTGGGGCCGCATTTTCTGCAGTTATTCTGAGGACTATTTCACTGGCTGACCTGCCTCTTTGTGGAAGGTGGCTGTGGTCACAGCTGTCTCCCTCTGAGGCATGGCCTGCTCTCTGATGATGGGTGCAGGTGCCCCCCCCCCCCCCCCCCCCCCCCCCGCTGGACCTGGGAGGCCACCGCTTCCAGAAGCTCAGAAGCTCAGGAAGTAGCCCGATTCCGTGTGGTTTGTCCCTTGCAGGTCATCCCGATGGTCAGAGGGCTGGTGGAGAGCAGCCACCGCTATCACCGCCAGGAGGTTGGTCGTGGGCCCCGTGCTGTGGGATGGCCCCTCGCGGTGGAGCAGGCCCCTGCGGGGCGCGAATGGCCCAGAACTCCTCGCCTGGGCCTGGGGCTCCCTGTCTAGGCGCTGGGGGGGGGCCGGCCCTGCTTCCACCCGCCTGTGCTGGCGGCAGGAAGGGTCGGGGTGGCCCTGCCGAGGTGGGCGGGGCCTCCACGAGGGTGACCTTTCCCTGCGAGGCCGGTGCACAGGCCAGAGGCGGCTCTGGGAGGGGCCGTGGGCGGAGTGGGCGGGGCCAGGACACTGTGGGCGGGGCTTTGGATGGCCTGGGGGCGTGGGCAGGGTCAGGGCGGTGTGGGCGGGGCTTTGGCCGGCCTGGGGGCGTGGGCGGAGTGGGCGGGGTCGTGGGCGGGGCTGTGGGGGGCAGCAGGTGGTCTGGGTGGGACAGTGGGTGGAGTGGGCGGGGCGGGGCCAGGACAGTGGGCGGAGCCAAGGATGCTGTAGGCGTGGCCAAGCGTGCTGTGGGCGGAGCGTGGTCGGTGTGGGCGGGGCCGCGGGCGGACCGTGACCCCGCGCGGCCGCTGCGCCCCTGCAGAACCTGGAGTGCTGCGCCCTGGTGATCGGGATCCCCAACGTGGGCAAGTCCTCCCTCATCAACGCGCTCAGGAGACAGCACCTCAGGAAAGGTACTGCGGCCGCGCAGCTGGTGCGTGGGCCCTTCGTGTCCCCGGCGAGCAGCCCCCCTTCCTCTGGCCGCGGGCAGGACGTCCAGAGCCAGCGCCCCCCGGCCCGAAGGGACCACCTGACTGCCTGGCGCCAGGTTGAAGGCTGAGGCCGGGTCATCTGCGGCGCGCTTCGTCGCACCTGTCTTCTCTCCTGGACGTGAAGCGTTAAGGGTTTCCCGCGCAGGTGACCTGCGTGCTCTTTGGCGGCTGCCTCCTCCATCACCGAGGCGCCTGACACCTGTCCTCAGGTGCCGCAGCCTAGACGCGACCTGGTGTCAGGCGGGAGGTGCGGGATGACCTGGGGGGCAGGCAGCTGGGGTGGCCTCCTCCCAGGCCGCCCTGACTGCAGCCGCTCTACTCCCCCCGTGCCTTTCCCTCTTCCAATAAGCGCCACAGGTCAGCACCAAGCGCAGGTGGGCTCGGCTGCACACCAGCGACGCACGGTCTGTTCACTCACCCCGACCCAGCGCACACACCTGGACCATTGTTTTAGATGGTGTTTTGGTGCTCGTTATCGACTTGTCAAATTGTTTATGTTTTTAAGTTTATTTTTCTTTAATCATGGCTTTAAAAAGATTGTGGCTTTAAAAAAATTGTGGCATTAAGTATATCTGGGGCTGTGCATCCACCGCACTATTTGTAGACTTTGCCGCTGCGTCCAACTGGAAGTCTTTAAACAATGACGGACGCCCTCTCCCTGGCCCCAGCCCCTCCGAGTCTGCTGCTGGTCGGCAGCCGTGACGGTCTGGTGGCTCACATGAGTGCATCACACAGTGTCTGTCTTTTGGCGTTGGATGTTTTTCGCTGAGCATAACGTTCTCAGGGCCCATCCACGCTGCGGGCAGTGCCAGGATTTCCTTCCTTTTCCAGGCTGAAGTATATTCCTTTGGGTTTATAAACCAGCTTTGGCTTCTTTGCGAGTCCACTGATGGACACGTGTATCTCTTTACTCTTGAGTTGCTCTGGTCCCTTGGGGGCAGGTTTACAGAGGTGGCTGGTGTGCTGAAAGGAGCAGCTCCGTTGGGACCTCCACGGTCAGGCACTTGCCTGCCTGTCCCTCAGCAGGTCTCGGAGACGAGGTTTGGTTCCTGGTTTGAAGCGTCACTGCCGTGACCTACTTTGGAGCCAAACTGAATCAAGTCCACGTGGGCCTCTGTCGGTTTCCATGTGTCTCACTTCTCATTCTGCAGCTTGTCTGCCAGGCTTTGTGTGTTGACTGCATGTGACAGCCGCTTTTCATCCTGCAGGAAAAGCTACCAGGGTGGGCGGGGAGCCCGGGATCACCAGAGCTGTGATGTCCAGAATTCAGGTACAGTCCTTGGCTGCTGGGTGTAGAGCTCCGCGTGCACACGCCTGGCGCCTCCTGAGGGCTGTGGGTGGCCTGCCTGCCTCGTCCCGCTCCATTCCCCGAGTGCTTGCCACGTGCCGGGCACCGCAGCACCCTTACTGCAAACCTGCGGGAGGGCGTGCTCTCACCCTGGTGAATGCATGGGGGAGCCTGAGGCCTGCCCACGGTCACACCTAGGCCCACTGTCTCGGGCTCTGCTCAGCCTGTCCACGCTTGCTCTTTTCGCCCTGGGAGGGGAAGACGGGGGCTGTTGGCGCCTGTTGCTCTGATTTATTCTCCAAACTCAATGGGAACTGATCCTGTGGGGAAGCCGAGAGCTTCCTGTAAGGGATGAACCATCAGGACGGGGCCCCAGGGCCCCCTCAGAGCCTCAGTGCTGGGCCCACCCTACAACGCCTGGGCGGAGCGGCTGTCCGACCGCCCTCTGTGTGCACAGGTCTGTGAGCGGCCCCTCATGTTCCTGCTGGACACTCCTGGGGTGCTGGCCCCTCGCATCCAAAGTGTGGAGATGGGCCTGAAGCTGGCCCTATGTGGTAAGTGGGGGGGTTTTGAGGGGGGCCGCCAGGCCTGGTATGGGGGGCCTCCCTTTCTGGATGTGGCCGTTGCAGATGCTTCAGGGCTGTGCTGGGCGAGCAGGCCAAGCAGCCTGTGCGGCCCTAGCTCCCAGCAGTCGCGGGCCCGCCACCGCTCTGACTCCCGCTCCCCATGGCCTGGGGAGCACCTGCCTTTCTCGGTGTACTGCCGAGGCAGAGCCGTCAGGCCCGGGGCCTTGGAGAGCCGATGCTGGGCTGGTTTTCAGAGCTCACACTGGCCTCCTGGTCCCAGGAACCGTGTTGGACCACCTTGTCGGGGAGGAGACCCTGGCCGACTACCTTCTCTACACCCTCAACAGGCACCAGCTCTTTGGGTGAGTGCAGGGTGTGGGGCGGCGGCCGGTCCTCTCTCTCCTCCCGTGCAAATGTAATTAGGGGACGTAGCAGCCTAAGGCGTTTAGACGAACTCTGCACATCACGTACAGCCTGACACGTTTGAGTGTCACACAGTCAAGAAAACCCCGCAGTGTTCTGTGTGCTGGGGCAATCGCTCCTTCCTGCCCCTTCCTTCCCCCATTTTGCAGAGGGGTCCCCAGACCCCGCACGCCACACCCTGGTGACCACCTGCCTTTGGTCTGTCGCTTGAGTCCTGTGAATGGAGTCACACGGCCTGGACGCTCTTGTTGGGTTCCCTGCGCTCAACGTGACTGCTTTGGGGTTCCTGTGCATTGTGGCACGGGTGGCTCCTGGTGGCTGGCACGTGCTGTCCGCGGTACAGGCCGACACGTCCGTTTGTCGTCACCAGGATGAGCTGGATGTTTCCAGGACGCCCTGCTAGAGGTTCATCAGTTTTGCGGATTTCCACCAAGAACCAGCTCGCCCTTTCATTGATGATGACCGTTCGACCTTTATCATTTCCTTATTGCTCGTTTGCTGCCTTTCCTTCTGTTTCTGCCGTCAGTCGTTGACAGGGGGTACCGAGGTGTCCACCTGTGACTGGTCAGTCTGTCCCTGCGGCCACGTCCGTTCGCTTCGTGTATTCAAAGCTCCATTGCAAGGCGCGCGGGTCTTCGCGTCCCCGATTCGATGCTGTGGTCGTTCAGAACGGCCTTGACCCTCCCCGTGCTCTGTTCTGACGTCTGCCTCGGCTGGTAGGTGCCCAGTGACTCCGGCTTTGGATGGTGTCCAAGCGCTGCATCTCTTTTTGACCTTTTGCTTTAAGCATATTTGTGTCTTTCTATTGAAAGTGTCTTTCTCACAGACCGCGTACAGACGGCGAGGTCTTGTTTTTCATCCAATCTGACCATTTCTGTCTTTTATTTCAGGTCTTTGGGCCGTTTACATGTAACGGGATGATTGACGCTGGGGTTAAATATGTCGCCTTTCGGGAAGGGCGCCGGGTGGCTCCGTCGGTGGAGCGTGTGCCCTCGGCTCGGGTCGTGGTCCCGGGCCCTGGGGTCAAGCCCTGCGTCGGGCTCCCTGCCCCTCGCTCAGGCTCCCCCCGCCGCCGTCCTGCTGTCTGGGCCTCCTGTCCCTGCTCCTACTGTCTCCTCTGCGTCTGCCTGCCTGTCTCCCTTCCTTGCTCCTCCGTGTCTCTCTTTGGCCTCTGGTGCACTGAGTGGACAATCACGATGTCCCTGTGTCCCATCTCCCGGCTCGTCATCAGTGGCGTCTAGAGGCCGTTGCCTCAGCGTTCAAGGAACAGCCGTGAGCACCAGCCCCTTACGGTGGCACGTCTCCATTCTTCTCTGGGTCTTTGGGTTTTTGTTGTTCAGTGTCTTTTTTTTTTTTAAGTTTTTTTTTTTTAAGATTTTATTTTTTATTTATTCATGAGAGACAGAGAGAGAGAGAGAGGGGGCAGAGACACAGGCAGAGGGAGAAGCAGGCTCCATGCAGGGAGCCCAATGCAAGACTCAATCCTGGGTCTCCAGGATCAGGCCCTGGGCCGAAGGCAGGCGCTAAACCGCTGAGCCACCCAGGGATCCCCCGTCTTTTTACATATTTTGTAAACCTGAGGGAGACAGAGACTTCAGGTCTAATAAACCTCCGCCCTTTCCCCATCGCCTTAGGGTTGGTGGGCGCGCCTGTTCCGTGTACGTCACCATCCCCTGGGACTTCCTGGGATGTTTGTCGCGAGGCGGGGCTGCTGCTGCTGAATTCTTTCCAATTGGGGTGGTTTGCAGGAGCCTTTAGTTCACGTCTGTGTTGCAAAGCTGCCCCGTGCCGGAGGGTCTAGACGGACCGCGGTTTTCTGGAAGGACGTCATGGCATCGCATTGTCACCCCGTGGTCTCTGATGGGTCATCGGTCACGTTCGTCTCTGTTCCTCCTGCTGCTTTAAGAGTTTCTCATCGGGCTTCTGAGCCATGTATGACAACAGGCCCGTGACGGTTTCCTTGGCGTTTTCCTCGGGTTACGGTTTGTGGGGTTCTTAGGACTGTGGCGTCGTAGCTTTTATCAGATTTCCAGCCGTGATTTCTCCATCTGTTTTCGGTTCCCGCCTCCTCCGTCCTCCGGAGTGTTGGCCCCGGCTGCTGCCCATGTGGGCCTGCCCCTGCACCCCTGCGTGTCGACCTGCCCGTGTCTCCCGGCGCGGCTCCACAGTCCGACTGGGACCGTGTTCCCATCTTCTCTCCACTTGGCCTTGTAACCACGTGGAATGTGGCCGCAAGAAGCAGTCTGGCGTCTCTTCCGCTAACACCCCCCTCTCCCCCCCCACCCAGACTTTGAGCGCCAGGTCTCGTCCTCACGACGGTCCTGCTGTGTGCTGGGTGGAGTTTGCCGGATGCCAGGCTCCTGGAGTTCTGTCTGGGGGCGGCGGGATCTCTAAGCTCCTGCACAAGCTCTCGGGCTTTGCTTGGGGCGGTCGTCTGCCTGTGCCCCGTCCACCTGCTCGCGGTGCTGCGTGAGCACTGGCCGCGGCCCCTCCTGGCCTCTGGCTTCGGAGAATTGCCTCCCTGGCCAGCGAGGCTGGCAGACTTCCGGAACCCTTCCCTGGGGCCCACAGCCCGACGACCCCACGGGCTCCGGGGTCTCTAGGTGCCACGCGGGCGGTGGCGGGGGCCTGTCCACATTCTCCATGGCTTTGATGTCTGGGGCCGTGAGTGTGCTCGGGCCTCTGCGGCCCTGCAGCGTTTCTGGAGTTTGCGGAGTCTCGGCTGCGTGTGAGTGGGGAGCTGACCCAGAGGCAGCCCCCCTTGCCAGGACAGAGCGCCCTGGGGCCACTGGCGCCCTTGGCCTTGGGGTTCCCACACCCCAACCCAGGCTCCCCGAGGCCCGCGGGGGGCTGGGCCAGGTCTTACTCTCCACGTGGCTGTGCCTGCCCTCCCCGGTACACCCGGAGGTGGGTAACAGCACCTCCCCTGCCTGTCGGGAGGTCCAGGCTGCAGTGACCCGGCAGGGGTGTGGGTGCAGCTCCCGGCGCTCGGGGAGCGGCTTAGACGAGGCTGGTCTCCTTCAGCCCTGGGGGTCGGACGCGTCCGGCCGGGTGCTGGGCCTCTCCCATCCGGCCCGGGGCCCGCGACACATGGCACGGGGAGGGTGCGAGAGCCCCCGGCCGTCCTCGGCCGTGGGGGGTGCTCTGTCATCCTGTGCTGCTCTGGGGGCTGCAGATGTGCCAGGCCGACCTGTTCAGGCCCTGGCGGAGCTGGTGCTGCCGACGCTGGCGCTCGCTCCTGACCGTGGGCGGCTGTCTGGAGGTCGTGGGCCTGCTCGGGACTGGGGTGGACGATGCAGCCTGAGGGTGGCTTGGGACAGGTGGTCACGGCCAAGTGGGAGGGTGCATGTCGGCGGCTCTGGGGGGTGTCCTGGCCCGGCTCCCTGCCCTGACCCCTGGTCTCTGTAGGTATGTGCAGCATTACGGCCTGGACGGAGCCTGTGATGACATCACCCGTGTGCTGAAGCACGTGGCGGTGAGGCTGGGGAAGACCCACAAGGTGAAGGTGCTCACGGGCACAGGTGAGCCGCGGAGGCCCCCCGGGGCTGTGGCTATGGGGACGTGGCAGGCACAGCTGGCTGCTCTGGGAACGGGGTTTCCGCAGAGGAGGGGGCCGGGCAGCCCTGCCTTGTACTGGGTACACCCTGCACCCCCTCCCCCGGGGAGGCCTCCCGAGGTCCAGGTGCCTCTGCCTGGGCTCTGCAGTGCCCACCACCAGTCCCTGGGGCCGCGCCGGGAGGGGTGCGTGTGAACCCTGGGCCTGCGCTGCAGGACGGCCCTCCTCATGACCCTCTCGTCTCTCCAGGAGACGTCAACGTCATCCAGCCCAACTACCCCGCAGCAGCCCGCGACTTCCTCCAGACCTTCCGCCACGGGCTGCTGGGCCCAGTGATGCTGGACAGGGACGTCCTGCGGAGCTCGTCCCGCGCAGACCCCTGAACTGGTCCCGCTGGCGGGGGCCTCGTGCCCGCCTGGCCCTTGGCACCCGAGATGTGGGACGTCCCAGAGCTTCACAGCCAAGGACTGGGCGCTGGGATCCCAGAAGCTCTGTGTGGTCGTTGTAGAGTCCACGCGGGGCCCCACCCAGGAGGGGCCCGGGCCAGCTGCTGCCCACAGGGCCTGCGCCCAGGGCGGCTGACCTCAGGGCTCTCCCTGCCTCACACACGCCAGGGATCCGTTCAGGAGACGCTGACGCTTTCTTAGGAGGTGAAAGTACAATCTGTAATCTAAACATTTAAAAGGTCTCTCTGTGCTGGCGGCTCATTCGTGCGCCTTGCACCTAGAGGCACGGGAGGTGAACGGCTTAGTAAGTGGGGCTCCTGCGTCAGGTCCTTGGGGGTTAGTGTCCTGGGCCCTCAGGAAACCAGAGTCTGTTTGCCAGCAGGGTGTTTATTTTACGGCACGACTGACACATGGACACGAATGGACAGGAGGTCCCCAAGTGGCTGCGGCGCTGGTGTGGTAGGCGGGGACTCCCGAGCTGCTCCCCACTGCCTGTGAGCACCTTCCACCCGACAGGCCCATGAGGCTCCTCCCTGGGAGCTGCACCTGCCGGCCTGCACCCAGCACAGCGCCCAGGCTGGGCCCGGTCAGGGCTCTGCCCCTTGTGTCCAGCCAGGCGTGGCCTCCTGGAAACCCCGGGGTCTCCGCCGAGCACCCCCTGACGCCGCCCACCCCGCGTGCACACACTAACCTCTCCTGAGGGTCCCCGGCCCCGGGCGCCGCCTGCCTCCTGCTGGGGCCCTGACCAGTAGAGTGCGAAGCATCCACACTTGCGGCTTTGCCCAATGCCAGGCGCTCCCTGACTCCGCGCATCTCCATGTGGTGCGTGTGGCCTGCCAGGGCGCCCGGAGGCTGGGCCCACGCTCCTGCCCTCAGGTGGAACTGAGTGCGCCCAGGGAGCAGCCCCAATGGGTGTCCTGCCCGCAGGTACGGTGGCTCAATGGACACACTGCCCCCGGGCCCTGGGCAGGGCTTGGCCACGGCCTGTAGGTCTTTGGTAGCATCACATTTGGTCTGGAGTGGATGGAGGCGCCTCGGGGCTTGCTGTCCCCCGGAATGCTGGCCGTGTGGACGTGGGCGGCTGCGGGGAACTGTGTCCTGGTCTTTGGAGAAAAATGCTTGGTCCGCGATTCTGCTGGTAGCTTGGAGACTGCCCCCCCCAACCAGACCTGTGAGTCAGCTGTGGGGCCCCTGCAGGTGCCGGCGTCTGAGTCCTGAGGCCCTGGGTCTGGGGGGCAGCCCAGCAGCTGCTGAGGCCTTCAGTGAGCACCAGAGGAGGAGATCGGAGGACCCAGGCGGGGACGCCGTCCTGCCGTGGGCTACGGGCTGGAGGGTGTGAAGAGCCGAGGGCCGCGGGGCTGAGCTCAGGGACGGTGACCCAGGCCCGAGGCTTGAGGGAAACGGGCCTCCTGGCGCCTGAGAAGCTGAGGGCTGGCCTCCTGCACAGGGCTGCTGGGGTGCCGGAGGCAAATCTTGCAGGACCCGCCTGGCATCTCCTCAGAGGCTCCCCGGCTCTGTCCTGCCCTCGGAATGGTGGGGGGCTCAGCCTCTTTGGGCTTTGCTGGGCTGAGCCAGAGTCCTTGGGCCCTCGGTGCTGCCTGCTGGTTCTGACCCGGGATCTGGCCCGCGCCAGTCACACGACCCCTTCCCGGGAGGTGCTGCGGGGAGGCGCTGCTGCCGGCTACGGGGCGGCCTCATGCACCTGGCTGCCCTGGGAGGGCCCAGCGCGAGGGCAGTCTGCGTCCCTGGGTGCCCACGGGCACTGATTCCAGACGGTGAACCTGAAGCTCAAAGGAAACGGAGAGCTCTTCAAATTTAAACAGAACCTTTGGGTTTTTTTTTTTTTTTTCCCTCCCAAAATAGGTCTCAAGAAAAGTGGAATGATTTGTTTCAAGTTGGGGCAGAGTGGCTCCGAGGGGCCCCTGGTCTGAGTGTGGCCCAGGGAGGGACCGGCCGCTGCGCCCGGGGGCCCGGGGGTGAGCTGGCGAGGCTGCGGCCGGGCGCCCTGGGGGTTGTGCGGAGGCCCGTGCTGGGCGCGCCTGGGCTCCGGGACCCGCAGGCGGTGGCAGGCACAGCGCAGCCCGTGAGTGGGGCCTCTGCTCGGTTCGGCGCTTCCGTGAGGGAGGCCGCGGGGTCCTCGGGGTCCCGGGTCAGCACCGCCCGCAGCCCTCGCGTCCAGGGCGGGGTCAGGGGAGCTGCCGAGGCCTCAGCGGCCGCGTGGCCCCTCTGGGCGCCGGGCCAGGTCGGTGCAGGAGGCACAGGGCACCTGCCTCTCTGGGGAGGCCGGACGCGCGGGCGGTGGGTCGGGCATCCCCGGCGGGCGCGCCGGGCTCTGGGCGGCGGGGAGGGGCCGGGCAGGGCGGGGGCAGGGCGGGGGCCGGGGGTGGCCCGGGGGCGGGGGCCGAGCCGGGCCTAGGGCGGCAGCAGCCCCCGCGCGCCCAGGGCGCCGCCCAGCAGCAGGCAGAGGCGCGGGCTGCCCGTGGGTCCGGCGCCCGAGGTCCACGCGCGGAAGCCGTACACGCCGCGGCCCGTCCCGTTGCCGCCCGGGGCCGCGTCCTCGCCGTCGTCCGGGTCGCGCTCCCCCAGGCCCGGGGCCCTCCGCCAGCTGGACCCCGCCGCCAGCCCCGCGGCCGCGCCCGCCCCCGCCGCCGCCCCCGCCGCCGCCACGCGCAGCGAGGAGCCCCCGTAGCGCGGCGCCGGCCTCACGCGCACCCGCGGGGCCCCCCGCGCGCCCCCGCGCAGCCCTCCCCGGGCGCTGCCGCGAGCCCCCCCACGGCCGCCCTTGGCCGCGCCGCCGTCGCAGAGGAAGGTGGCGGCCAGCAGCAGCGCCCAGCACGTCGCGGCCGTCCAGTTCATCGCTGCGGAGCAGACCTGCGGCGGAAGGGGAAAGGGCCTCAGCTTCCCGGGGTGGGGGTGCCAGGGCTGGGCCAGGGGCCAGGGGGTGGGGGACCAGGGGGGCCGCGGCTGGGGCCAGGGGGGCGAGGGCCTGGGGTCAGGGGCTCGGGGACCAGGGGGGCCAGGGGGTCGGGGGGGCCAGGGGCTGGGCACAGGGGGCTCAGGGGGCCAGGGCCCCAGGGCCTGGGGCCAGGGGATCAGGTTCCAGGGGTTCAGGGACCAGGGAGGCTCAGGGACCAGGGGGGCCAGGCCTGGGGACAGGGGGCTCAGGGTCTGGGGAGGCTCAGGGACCAGGAGCTCAGGGCTCAGGGGGCCAGGGCCTAGGGCCAGGGGGCTCAGGAGCTCAGGGACTGGGGAGGCTCAGGGACAGGGGGCTCAGGGGCTCAAGGTCTGGGGGCTCAGGGTCCAGGAGGCTTAGGGACCAGGGGGGCCAGGCCTGGGGACAGGGAGCTCAGGGACTGGGGGCTCAGGGGCTCAGGGTCTGGGAGCTCAGGGACTGGGGAGCCAGGGCTGGGGGCTCAGCGTTGGGAGGTCCACAGCCACCAGCATCCTGAGCTCAGGGTGGGACCGACTGGGGCCCGCGGGTGGGGGGGGGGTTAGGCGGTCAGGCCTGGGGAGAGGGTGGTGGTCCCGTTCAGGAGGGAGGAAGGGGTGAGTTGGAGGAGGACAGGGGTTATTCCGTGCCCTGGGTGGAGCGGAAGCAAAGAATGGGGGGGGGGTGTGAACACCTGCGCTGGGCCCCGCGGCCTGGGCCGCCCCGGGACCACCCACCCAGGCCCCCAGGACCCGAGGCCACAGTGGCGGAGACCAGGTGTGTGCCTCCCCCGGACCCTCCGGGGCGGAGCAGGGCGTTCTGGCCTCGCAGGCGGCGCGGACACGCGCGCCGTGACCCCGTGCAGGCCCCGCCCCGCAGCCCGGGACCCGGGGCGCCGTCCGCTCCCCCCACCGCCGCGGAGCCCGGGGCCGGGCCGCTCGCTGGGCCCCATCGGGCCGCGGGGACCGGCGGCGGCGCGACTCTCCCCGACCCTCCGCGACCCTCCCCGGGCCCCCGGGCCCTCGCGCCGCCTCCGCCCGCCTTACCCGCCTCGGGCTTGCTGCGGACCGCGGGCCGGAGACGCCGCTGCAGGGGCGCGGGAGGGAGGGAGCGGCGGCGGCCGAGACCCCGCTGCGGGCGGGCGGAGCCGGCTGCCGAGGCCTCGGAGGGCGGGGGCGGGCGGGCCCGAGGCTCGTGCCCGGGAGGGGGGAGGCGGCGGCGGCGGCGGCGGAGGAGAGCGGCCCCTCGGCACCCCCCCGCCCCGCCGCCTGTTCCCCCTCCCCCCTCCCCCCTCCTCGCCATCCCAGCCACCTGCTTCCCCTCTGCCCCCGTCCCCCTGCCCCCATCCTCGCCATCCCCTCCCCCGCGCCCCTGTCCCGCGCCCTGCCGCCTGCTTCCCCCTCCCCTCCCCCCTGCTTCCCCTCCCCTGCCCCCCATCCTCGCCACCCCCCCGCCCCCGCCCCGCGCCCCCTGCACCCTGCACCCCCGCCTCGCGCCCCCCCGTCTGTTCCCCCCTCCCCCCTCCCCCCTGCTTCCCCCTCCTCGCCATCCCCGCCACCTGCTTCCCCTCTGCCCCCGCCCCCTGCCCCCGTCCCCCTGCCCCCCATCCTCACCATCCCGCCCCGCGCCCCGCTGCCTGTTCCCCCTCACCCCGGCTTCCCCTACCCCCCTCCCCCTGCTTCCTCCTCCCCCCTCCCCTGCCCCTCCTCCTCACCATCCCCGCCCGGGCCCTGCCATCCCCGCCCCTTGCCGCCCCCCCCCTCCCCGCCTGTTACCCCTCCCCCTGCCCCCATCCCCCTCCCGTCCCCCTGCCCCCCATCCTCACCATCCCCGCCCCCCCCTGCCCCGCGCCCGCTTCCCCGTCCCCCTCCCCCCTCCTCCCCTGCCCCCCTCGCCCCCCTTCCCCCCCAGGCCATGTGCCCCAGACGCCCTCAGAATGCCCCAGCGCCCGGTTCTAGGCCCCGGCGTCCAGGGCCCGTCAGGAGGCCCCGGGAGGAGGGGGTGGCTCTTCCAAGGCCGCGGGGGGGAAGGAGCCATGGCTGACCTTGGCTCCCTGCCCGTGCAGTCCCCCCACCCCCCAAGCCGAAGCTGCCCCAGTCACCTGCCCCTCCCTGTCCCGTTGCATCCATCACACTTCCCTGCTACCTGGCTTTGAGGTCTCCTCCCCTGCGCCCTGGCCAGTCGGCCTGGGGACACCAGGCTCCCCTGATGGCTTCAGGAGTGCACCCACGACCTCCTCACCTGTGACATGAGTGACCCCTCTCGATGCCCAGAGGCTCAGAGCTGCTGCCCCACACACAATCGTGTGATGGTGGGACTCCTACAACCTCAGAATGGGTCTGTATTTGGAGATGGGGTCTTTACAGAGGTTATCGAGGTAAAATGAGGTCTGTAAGGCAGGCCCTGATCCAATCCACCTGGTGTCCTTATAAGGAGAGATCAGGACACAGGCAGGCACAGGACCAGCAGATGAGGACCCGGGGAGGGGACGGCCATCTGTGAGCCCAGGAGAGCGGCCTCAGGAGGAACCAGCCCCGTCGCACCCTGTGTCAGACTTCCAGCCCCCAGAACCGTGGGAAAACGTGTGGAGGTTCCTCAAAGAGTTAGAAATAGAGCTGCCCTACGACCCAGCAATTGCACTGCTGGGGATTTACCCCAAAGATACAGATGCAGGGAAACGCCGGGACACCTGCACCCCGATGTTCACAGCAGCAACGTCCACAATAGCCAAACTGTGGAAGGAGCCTCAGTGTCCTGGGACAGATGATGGATCAAGAGGATGTGGTCTCTGTATACAGTGGGATACTCCTCAGCTATTAGACACGACAAATTCCCACCATGTGCTTCAACGTGGATGGACCTGGAGGGTGTGATGCTGAGTGAAGTAAGTCAGTCGGAGAAGGACAAACATTATATGGTCTCATTCGTTTGGGGAACATAAAAAGTAGTGAAAGGGAATAAAGGGAAAGGAGAGAAAGTGAGTGGGAAATATCAGAGAGGGAGACAGAACATGAGAGGCTGACTTCTAACTCTGGGATACGAACTAGGGGTGGTGGAAGGGGAGGTGGGGGGGTGACTGGGTGACGGGAACTGAGGGGGGCACTTGCCGGGATGAGCACCGGGTGATATGCTATATGTTGGCAAATTGAACTCCAATAAAAGAATATACAAAAAAAAAAAAAAGAAAGAAAGAAAGAAAAAGCTCAGGTGACAAGTGAAATTGAGGGAGAAGGGTAGGATCTCAAGAGTTACAACAACAAAACAGGAAAATGAACTTCTGGTGTTTAAGGCACCCCATGGGTGGTACTTGGTTGTGCCGTCCTGAGCAAGTAACAGAGAACCCAAGGGTTTCTAGTCCATATGGGAAAGTGAAAAAAGTACTAATATAACTCATTTTGATAAACAAGATCAAGGAAGGACTCAGTGTGTCAGACATTGTTATAAAAGGTCACGGGGATAAAGCAACCTGGTCTTGGCGAGGATCACACAGAGCAGTGCAGGCAAAGCGAGTGTCGCTAAGGGACACACGGAGCAACTTCACACGCACCCACACGAGTAGGACGGGGGCGAGAGCGTGACACAGCTGGAACCTCAAAGAACCAAACGGAAGTTCTAGAACTGAAAAGAATACACTTAAAAACACGGATTAGATGTGGCCAGGGAGAATTAGTAGCCTGGAAGAGGAGAAGGAAATTTCCAGAAGAAAGCACAGAGAGGAAGCGAGCGTACGCAGCAGGCTGCCGGGGCTGCGGGGCCACACGCGGAGCCGGGCCAAGGGGGGACGTGGCAGGTGCAGTGTCTAGGGGCACAACCTGACCATTTCCAAAAGCCGATGAGGCAAGGCACAAATTCTAGAAGCATCACAAGCTCCAAGCATGGCAAGTACAGAGAAGAGCATGCCCTGGAAGCCAAATACCAAACTTCTTGTTAGAAGACTTTGAAAGCTTCTGGCACCGGGGGAAACCCAGTAACCTAAAGGGACTGAAGACAAGCTGACGTCTCCACAGACACGGGGGGCAGCTGAGGCACAAGGTGCGGTTTGCAGGGCTGAGAGGCCCAGACAGAAGTCCTGTGTCATACAAGCTCCCACGAGTGACTCGGGGGCGCGCACGGCTCTGTGGACGTCAGACCTGAGCCTCAGGGTCGAGGCAGGAAGCCTTACGGGAGACAGAGGAGCACTTCCCCAAGACCAAAGGTTAGATTCACCAAGGTGACAAAACAGTTCGGAATTTCGTGTACGTAATGACATAACCTCAAAATAATAAAGCAAAACTGTAGGAGATCACGTCTGCGCATTTAACAGTCTCACATGCAAAGCAGTGGGACAGGTTTGTGGGTACGCGCCGCCGGCGGGGGGACACGAAACGCCTCACTGGGGCCGCAGCAGGGGAAGCAATGAGGTCACCCTGACCAGTGACGACAGCACACTAAGAAGGAGAGTGCTGGGCCAACCCAGTTTCTGCCCCTAAGTGCCAGGGAACAAAGAAAAGGCAGAAATACCACATATGGGCTTGCCATCTATCCGTTAGACCCGCCAGGTTGTTTTTTTTATTTTCAAGATTTTATGTATTTATTCATGAGAGACACAGAGAGAGGCAGAGATTCAGGCAGAGGGAGAAGCAGGCTCCGTGCACGGAGCTTGACGCAGGACTCAATCCCGGGGCCCCGGGGTCACGCCCTGGGCTGAAGGTGGCGCTTAACCGCTGGGCCACCCAGAGATCCCCAAGACCCGCCAAGTTTTGGTAAAGTGACATTCTTGTTTCTGAGGAAAGATGGCAAGTGTGTGGCCTATGACACTGTCTGGACGTGCCGGGACACTTGGCCTGCCGTCCAGCCAGCTGAGGTTGGTGGCAAGGTCTGCTCTAGGGCCTGGAGGCCATCCAGGGGGGCTGAGGGACAGGGCAGGCAGGGCCCAGGAGGGCCAGGAAGAGGGGCTGGCCACCCCCGGGGGGGGGGGGGTGAGGGGGGAGGAGCCTTCCTGTGAGGGGTGGTGGGGTGGGGTGGGGGGATGGGGAGGGAAGGGGAATGGGGGAGGGGAGGGGGAATGGGGGAGGGGATGGGAACTCGGGTGCTGACGCTCTGGAGCGCGGGTGGCCAGGAGCTCTGGTCTCCCCGCTTGGTCAGTGCCTCCCTGGTGCCGGGCCCCTGGCAGCTGAGGCTCAGGGCGCCAGGCTGTGGCCTGCCCCGGGGCTGGGCTGGGGCTGTGAGCAGGGGGAGGAGGGCTTCGGGGAGTCCTTCCTCCTGCAGCTGGTGGTCAGCAGGGCCCAGGGGCGCGGAGGAGTTTGGCCAGAGCCTCCCTGATGTCCCGGTTCCGCAGGCAGTAGATGACGGGGTTGAGCAGCGGGGTCACGAGTGAGTAGACCACGGACACCCGCTTGTTGAGGTCGATGGAGCTGGCGGCGCGAGGCCGGGCGTACATGAAGATGGTGGTGCTGTAGAAGACGGCCACCACCAGCAGGTGGGAGGCGCAGGTGGAGAAGGCTCTCCGGCGTCTGGCCCACCCCGGGATCCTCAGCACGGTGGCCAGGATGTGCGCGTAGGACACCGTGGTCACCAGCAGGGAGGTGGCGAGCACAGCCAGGGCTGCCACGAAGTCCAGAACTTCCACGGCAGTGGTGTCTGAGCACGAGAGCTGCAGCAGGGGTGAGACGTCGCAGAAGAAGTGGTTGAGGACGTTGGGGCCACAGAACCTGAGGCGCGAGATGAGAGCCACGGACACGAACGAGGCCAGGAAGCCGCCCAGCCAGGCGCCCAGGGCCAGCCACAGGCAGAGCCCCCGGTTCATGGTGGCCGGGTAGCGCAGCGGGCGACAGATGGCCAGGTACCGGTCACAGGCCATGGTGGTCAGGAGGAAGCACTCGGAGGAGCCCAGCGAGAGGAAGAGAAACAGCTGCGTGAGGCACCCCGCGAAGGAGATGGTCCTCGCCCGCGCCAGGAGGCCCGCCAGCAGCTTGGGGACGGTGACCGAGATGTAGAGGGTCTCCAGCACTGACAGGTTGGCCAGGAAGAAGTACATGGGCGTGTGCAGTTGGCGGCTGGCTCGGACGGTCACCACGATGACCAGGTTCTCCAGGACGGTCACCAGGTAGGTGGCGAGGAATAACCCGAAAAGCAGTCCCCGAAGGTGGCACAGCTCTGGGAAGCCCAGCAGGATGAATTCCGTTCGCAGGGCGTCGGTGGAGTTGCCCATGGCCCTGGCTGCCGGGGCGGGCCCTTCGGAGCACCTGGAGCGGCGGGGGGACGCGGCAGTGAGTGGCCGCTGGGGCTGGTGGCTGTGCCGTCACCCCTCCCGAGAGGGGACCCCACGGTGCTGCCCGCCTGGGTGTCGCCCCCACCCCCACCCCCACGCCGTTACCCGGGTGGCCCCTGCAAAGGGGCGTTGGGCCCCGCAGGCCAGTGATCTCCTGGGGAAGCTGCCAGGTGTGTGCCCTTCCTGCTTTAGTGCACCGGTGCCCGCCAGGGGTGTGTGTGCACGGACACACACCCACCCACCCACCCACCCCAGGGCACCCTCTGCCTGTGTGCACCCCCCACATCTCCAGGTGTACACATGCCCCCCACACCTGGTGTGCACAGCACCTGGAGCAAGAGGAAGACCCCTTCTGTCTTTTGGGCGTGTCCCTGAGCATCGTCCTGGCCTCGGCCGGTCCCCCCAGAATGCTCAGGGGCCCTCAGGCCTGGGGTCGGACACCACATCCGTGGGACGGCCAGGGGGCTCTCGGGGCCCAGCAGCCACCAGCGGGTTTGCGGAAGGGGGTGCTCCTGCCCAGGTCGGTGGTGGCTGAGCCCCTGAGGTCTTTATCCTGAGCTTTCTGAGCGGCAAAGTGGCTGTTTGGGGGCTGGGAGCCGCGAGGGGTAGGACACCCCTGCCCTAGGTGTCTCAGGGTGAGGGACCCCCCTGGCCCTGGGAGTCTGGGGAGCCGGCCGGGCTCGCGCTGCCCCGTGGACAGGGGTGCACCGGGGGTTCCCGCAGCACTATGGTCCCTGGGATACCACGGCCACTCACCCAGGGAGGGGACCGCGCTCCCGGCAACCTGCTCGGCCCTGGACGGCAGGGGCTGCTCGGGGCTGGGGGGTCGTTCATGGGCGGGTGCGGACGGATGAGGCCTGCCCCCCAGTTCTCGGCAGAGTGTCTGCAGACTGGGGGCGCGCTCGGTCGGTGGGACCCGCTCGGATCCCAGGCCCAGGGCCCCTCGCCCTCCCCAGCCTTTGCCTCAGGAGCAGCCTCCCCCCAGGAGGTGCGGCCTCCCTGGGTCCCCGCGGGGCTCCAAGGGTCGGGGTCGGGGTCCGGGGTCCAGCCCTCTCGCCGCCTCTCCCAGGGTCCTGGCCGCCAGCCCCACAGCAGATGCCGAGGCAGATCCTCACCTGGGCGGGGGTGCAGAGCCACTAGTGTGGGGCCCGGGGGAGGGGGCGGCCTGGCTCCTGCCCTGAGTGACAGTGGGGTCACGCCCGCCGCCACCCTGGGGCGCCCCAGGCTGGGGAGCCGGCCCGAGCCGTCTGGCCTTCCCCGGCAGCCCCCCGACACCTGCTGTCGTCACCCCTGTGGGAGCACGGCCGCCAGCGAGCCTGTGCCCGGGGACCGTCGCTGCTCCCGGCGGCCTAATCAAGGGTGACGCATGGTGGCTCGACGCCAACTGTGCGGGAGGCTGTCCCACATGTTGTCCCTCGGGTCTTGCCTTTCTGCGTCACTGTCATTGCTGCTCCCCATGGCGGCTGCGCTGGGTGTGTGATGTTCACCCCATCTCCGCCCGGGGCCCGTCTGGTGGCTTGAAGCCCCCGAGCCCTTAATAAGCCAGGTCGGCCGACGCCCCACCCCCTTGTCCCCGTCCCTCAGCGTCACTCTCTTGCCTTCATGTTCCGGGTCTTGAAAACCACAATTTTCATGTGTTTGTTTCCTTTCAGGCGGGAGGCTCAGTCCGCATCTGGCTTCCGTGCTGGCGGCAGGCGGGACCCCAAGTCCAGTCACCCCATCCGCAACCTGCTGCAGCCCCCGAGCTCCTCCCTTTGCAGAGACCAGCGGTCCTGGCCCGGGCCCTGGTCACGAAGCTGCCGTCCAGCCCATCCCCCACTGCTCCCGGGGTCACCATCCCGCACTGCCCCTGCCCGGCATCCGGAAACAGCTGTTAAAGACTAACGTGACAGCACCCAGATAATCATATTACGGGTCGTGTTTAACCCCGTCACTGCGGTGGAGGCGGCCCTGACGCGAGCTTGCTCCGTGCAGCTGGAGGCCGCCTCACACGTATATCCTCAAAATGGATATAGTCTATGTGTTGCAGTAGCTTCCCTCAGTTTTTAACGTATTTTTTTACTTTCTTTAAGGTGTATTTTATTTTATTTTATTTTATATATTTTTAAAGATTTTATTTATGAGAGACACACACACACACAGAGAGAGAGAGGGGGGACAGAGACACAGGCAGAGGGAGAAGCAGGCTCCATGCAGGGAGCCCGATGCGGGACTCGATCCCGGGACCCCAGGGTCAGGCCCTGGACTGAAGGCGGCGCTAAACCGCTGAGCCACCGGGCTGCCCTAAGGTGTCTTTTAATGAACAGATGTTCTCAGGTATTTTCACGTTCTCTTTATTAAGGTATCATACAGCAAAACCTACTCTCTCGGGTGTACAGTTCTGCAATTTTAGCAAATGCACATAATCGTATAACCACCGCCGCAATAAAAATATACAAAGGTTCCATCTTCCAAGTTTCCCTCCCTGCTGCCCGCCCCTTGGTGAATAAACCTCCCCGTCCCCGGTGCCTGGCAAATCTGTTTTCTGTTCCTGTAATTTTGACTTTTCCAGAATGTTATATAAATAGGATCAAAAGAGCGTGTCCCATTTTGAGCCTGGCTCCCTTAGCGCGCTCCCTTCGTGGCTCAGTCAGGCTGCTGCGTGCGTCCCCTGCGTGGAAGACCAGCCGAGGTACCTGGGCCGTTTCCAGTTTTTGCTGATTATGAACTAAGTCACTATAAACAGTTGCTTACATTTTCCCGTGCGAACGTAAGTGTGGGTTACATGAGAGTATGTTCAGCTCTGTGAGGAGCTGCCAGGCTGGTCCAATGTGGCCACACCGCCTTGCACTGGGTACGGACTTTGAGAAACTGTTGCTCTAAAAAGTTTTTTCTGGTATCTCCTTGTGTTGTTGGTTTTTTATTTTATTTATTTATCTATTTATTTAGATTTTATTTATTTATTCATGAGACACGCAGAGAGAGGCAGAGACACACACAGAGGGAGAAGCAGGCTCCCTGCAGGGAGCCCGACCTGGGACTCGATCCCAGGACCCCGGGGTCACGCCCTGAGCAAAAGGTAGATGCTCAACTGCTGAGCCCCCCAGACATCCCCAAAACATTTATTTATTTTATTTATTTATTTATTCATTCATTCATGAAAATAGAGAGAGAGAGAGAGAGAGACAGAGACAGAGACACAGGCAGAGGGAGAAGCAGGCTCCATGCAGGGAGCCCGACACAGGACTCAATCCCAGGACCCTGGGGTCACGCCCTGGGCTGAAGGCGGGTCTAAACCGCTGAGCTCATCAGGCTCCCGGTGCATGGAGCCTGCTTCTCCCTCTGCCTGTGTCTCTGCCTCTCTCTCTCTCTCTCTGTGACTATCATAAATAAACAAAAATAAAAAATAAAAAAAAAATAAGGGGATCCCTGGGTGGCGCAGCGGTTTGGCGCCTGCCTTTGGCCCAGGGCACGATCCTGGAGACCCGGGATCGAAACCCACATCAGGCTCCCGGTGCATGGAGCCTGCTTCTCCCTCTGCCTGTGTCTCTGCCTCTCTCTCTCTCTCTCTCTCTCTCTCTCTCTGTGACTATCATAAATAAATAAAAAAATTAAACCGCTGAGCCACCCGGGCTGCCTTATTTTTTTCTCTTATGGATTGTGCTTTTTATGTTGTGTTGAAGAAATTTTTAGCTCATGAGCATTTTCTCCATTTGTCTAAGGTTTTATCCCCAGGTCACTGGTCCACTTTGAGTGTGAGATACAGAGTGTTCATTTCTGCATCAGGATAGCTGACTTTTCTGGCACTGTTTATTGAAAATTGAATCACCTTTCATCTATGTGAAAATCATTCATGTGTGGGTCTCATTTCTGGATTCTCTGGTCCATTCCACTTCTGTATGTTTATCTTTCTCCAATACTACACTGTCTTGATTACTACGTCTTTACGGGCCTTGCAACCAGGTAGAGGTAGCATGGGTTCCTGGACTTGGTTCTTTTTTCCAAATAGCTTTGGCTCTTCTAACTCATTTTTCTCTTCCATAAATTTTACACTCATCTTGTTGTTTTCTATAAAAATTCTGCTAGAATTTTGTTGGATCTGTAGATTAGGTTGAGAGCATTAGCATCTTTACAATAGTCTCCAATCCATGGACATGGTATATTTCTCTGTTTATTTAGGTAATCTTTGATTCCTTTCAGGAGTGCTTTGTAAGCTTTATTTCTTTTTTTAAAGATTTATTTATTTATTAATGAGAGACAGGGAGGGAGAGAGAGAGAGAGAGGCAGTGACCCAGGCAGAGGGAGAAGCAGGCTCCCTGTGGGGAGCCTGACACAGGACTCGATCCCAGGACCCTGGGGTCACACCCTGAGCCGAAGGCAGGTGCTCAACCACTGAGCCACCCATGCGTCCCATACTTTGTAAGTTTTAGCATATTTTGCAAATCTCTTTCCCCAGGTTAGAGCATCTCTTTTCCAGTTCCTTTAGGATGTCTTTTGATGAACACAAGTTCTACATTTTTCAAAATTATTTTACAATGGTTACATGGAAAAATTGCAAAGGTATTACAGACAGTTCCCATATACCCCATAACCAGTTTCCTTTAGTGCCAATAACTTATACCAGTATGACACATTTCTTAAATTAATGAACCAATATTGATATGTTCTTATCAATTAAAGTTTGTACTTTATTTGGATTCCTTTTTTTGTAGGTATTAATTCATTTCCATTTCCTGTTTTTTTTAATTTTTTAAAATTTTATTTATTTATTTATTTATTTTATTTTTATTTTTTTTTACTTATGATAGTCACAGAGAGAGAGAGAGGCAGAGACACAGGCAGAGGGAGAAGCAGGCTCCATGCACCAGGAGCCCGACGTGGGATTTGATCCCGGGTCTCCAGGATCGCGCCCCAGGCCAAAGGCAGGCGCCAAACCGCTGCGCCACCCAGGGATCCCATGG